GCTAAAGATTTGTTGACTCAATGACTCTCTTACTAACTTCTGGTCTGTTAATTTCAATCCTTCCTGACTATCTTCAATTTTTTATTCTGGAATTTCTCTTCTTCCCTTTGGATTTCTTCTTCCACCTGGCTCAGGCCAGGCATGATCTCCTCGCATTTAGTTCGATCTGCTCGACTGAATCACTTCGTCACACATTCTTCTCATTTCTTTTCTAAAGTCTTGTACATCTTCAATCATTTTTCCACTGGAATGGTACCTAATCTGGCCTCTATATAGTGGTATATGGCCCTTGAGTGACCAATGAAATAAACCACTTGAAGGACAATAATAGTCCTGGAGAGAATGGGAGTGGTAGCGGACAAATGCAAAAAGATTAGTCACAAGCAACACTGTGCCCAATACATAAGAAAGGAGATGTCCACGTCAAAATTTCTTTAAATGTCAATTGACAATTTTCCGAGGCGCATTTTGTTCAAATTTGGGATCTTTTCAGATGCCTCCAAAACCCAGAAAATATCTTTACATATGTACCTATACCAAAAATGGGTTGAATTTTTACGAAGTGTACACTAAAAAAACTACCCTTTCTTGTTCAATCTTTGTCTATCATTTTAACACCAAAGTGGCCCTATCATTGACATCTGCCTCTCCGATGTAACATAATGTAATATCTAAGCCCTGTCTAGATCGTAAGTCGTGCGCAAAGCGCAATACAATACCTGTAAAAAAAATTGCTTCTATTTATCCCTTGGTATCTAATATGCGTAATTTTCATATACAGGGTGGGTATATGTACGTACACTACCTAGGGTACCTAGGTAGCACTTATTTACAGACCCAAAGATAATTAAATACCTTTGACTGATTTGTTTATTCATTTAAACCTATACCTTTGCAATAAATAAACAAAGCTTTGAATTAGAAATACTTTATAATCAAAATAAGTAATGTGCCTTTAAATAACCAAAGATTATATTGTCATTTAATGAGAATAGAAATCATATTTACCAAGTCTGAATGTCATTTCCATGAACACCAAAAATGGGTTGAATTTTTACGAAGTGTACACTAAAAAAACTACCCTTTCTTGTTCAATCTTTGTCTATCATTTTAACACCAAAGTGGCCCTATCATTGACATCTGCCTCTCCGATGTAACATAATGTAATATCTAAGCCCTGTCTAGATCGTAAGTCGTGCGCAAAGCGCAATACAATACCTGTAAAAAAAATTGCTTCTATTTATCCCTTGGTATCTAATATGCGTAATTTTCATATACAGGGTGGGTATATGTACGTACACTACCTAGGGTACCTAGGTAGCACTTATTTACAGACCCAAAGATAATTAAATACCTTTGACTGATTTGGCAATAAATAAACAAAGCCAGCAGGCGCCAAGTCTGAATGTCATTTCCATGAACAGAACAATAATTAAAGGATTAGGTTTATTGGTGATAAAATTATGATAAATTATATTGTAGCGAATATCTCAGACAACGGGGCGCCAGCAGGCGCCATCGAGGCGCCCTATAAGATTAGTCACGAGCGATAAAGAACGAAAGCGGATATGTCGCGTCCTTTCTTAAAAATGCGATATGCAACTTGATGGCCGTAATGATGACTATAGTGATTTCGCGTTCGTATGTAATAATGTGAGAATGGTAAATAATAATTCACTGTTTTATGTTACAATATATTAAAAATAAATGCTTTTATTCAAATTCTTACAAAAGAAAATCTATTTTCTCTCCTATAATTGGGGTGCAGCTTTCGTTTTGCCGTGATATGTCTTTCCTCCCTTTCAAGCACATATAAGGCACATATTAATAAGTCACTTAGAGCTTGTACTGTTTAAAATCATGCATGCCAAACGCAAATAGTGGCAGCTGGCCATTCACTTCACTTCCACAGCTTGTCTATTTATTTGTATGTCTTTGATAGAGATGGAAATGTATTTGCCTATAGAAAACCCCACAAAGTAACCTATTGATTTATGCAAACTTTTGTATAATTTGAAGGAACTATGGTCATTTTATGAAGTGTATCAGGAGACCATATTCCATCTCTATTTAAAATATGCAAATGATTAGCAGGTATGACTTTATACTGTACAGGGTGTCCCAAATTTGAGGGCGATGAAGACAAAGTTGCGGCTTAGAAAGTGAAGGAATTCCGTACACTTCCCGAGATAACCGAAAAACCAACACTGCCTCCCAATGGTCACCGTCGAATTTGGGACAAGCTTATGTCATTATTTTCAACTGCTGTGGCTAGAATGACAGACTTTCATGTGCCTAAGTAGAAATCCTTGCAGTTGCGTTCTGTAGTTACACAGTTGGCAATTAAATGTTTTCCATTGATGACGAACTTTTACATGATCGAAAAGAACTCTTTTCCTTCTTGTCACAAACTTGCACTGTTCACAATGAAATTCTTCCAAGCCATGGTACTCTTTTAGATGGTTGATTAAACTTTTCTTCCACTTTGTGGTGTAACTGCAATTATGGCAGTGCACGAATCCACCTACACCTATGGAGTTGCTGTTGAGAACATGTACTTATCGTGATCACAAAGATACTCACCACCTGGCAAAGTCGCACTCTCTGTCGAAGTTGAATTATTTGTAGAACTAGTACAATCAATGTTAGTACTAGGGTCAGGAATGTCATTTAGACTAAACTCATCTTCAAGAGCAAGATCACATTCATGCTTCGCTACAATTACAGTTGTTGCAACAGTACCAGGTAAGTTTACTTCTCCAGATTCCTCTCTAGTAATGTCCATATTATCGGTGGACATTTCTCTTTCAAAACGTTTTGCTGCGATAGTCTTCTACAAGAAAAATTCAAAACAAAACAAAATCATACATAGTAGATGCCAAATGAACTACTAGCACATGGTACTTTCCTTTGAACTATTTTCATAACGAGTACCGACTACAACATTAAAATACACAGTGTTTCAAAAGTGTTGGATGTATTTTTTGGGTAGATATCCACTAGAGCTGGGCAGTATTCGATTTTGTAAATACTTTTTAGTCCTTTAAAGTATTCAAATACTTTGTAATTAAATACTTTTATGGAAGCAGTATTTGTTTTTGTAACTCAAATACTTTCACAAACATTTAGTATTCGAATACGTCGCAAAGTATTTGGATACTTCGTAAAGTATTCGAATACTTCGCAAGGTATTTGAATACTTTGAGAAGTATTCGAATACTTTGCAGAGTATTTGAATACTTAACCTTCCTTTTTTACCAAAAATCGACTGCACCAAAATTTTTCGGGAAAACACTTTTTCTTATTAATTTTCGTGCGTAGAATCCTAAACAATTCGCACGTTTTCGATTAGAACTCTCAATAAAAAGTTATGGACAAAAAACAAATTTCGAAAAAAAATTCAAAGGGCTGTAACTTTTGAACTAGTAGCCCAATCTTGGAACTGTTTGAAATTATGGATTCTACAAGCCACATTCTATAAGAAAATTTTTTTTCCGGGTCGATCTGAGACAATTTTTTTTCGGGGCTCAAAAAAAGGCAGTGTATAACCTTCCCTTTTTACCAAAAATCGACTGCACCAAAATTTCTCGGGAAAACACTTTTTCTTATTAATTTTGGTGCGTAGAATCCAAAACAATTCGTACTTTTTCGATTAGATTTTTCAATCAAAAGTTATAGACTAGAAACCAATTTCGAAAAAAAATTCAAAGGGCTGGAACATTTGAACTAGTAGCCCAATCTTGGAACTGTTTCAAATTATGGATTCTACAGGCCACATTCTATAAGAAAATTTTTTTTCCGGGTCGATCTGAGACAATTTTTTTCTCGGGCCTCAAAAAAAAGGCAGTGTATAAACCTTCCTTTTTTACCAAAAATCGACTGCACCAACATTTCTCGGGAAAACCCTTTTTCTTATTAATTTTAGTGCGTAGAATCCAAAACAATTTGTACTTTTTCGATCAGACTTCTCAATCAAAAGTTATGACTAGAAACCAATTTCGAAAGAAAATTCAAAGAGAAACATTATCAAGTTACTATCTATTTCTTTTTACCGTTTCCTTAAAAGGATCACTGACTGACAGTTAGTCGGCGCATGTTACATAATAAGTACATAACAAGAAAAACACCCAATTTAATTAAGATATAGGAAGATTAACCAGAGATAGGATGGAGCAGAAATAAATTGTAACATTTGTTACAGCACACAGCAAAAAAAGAACATTACAACATTGTAATGAATTCGCATATTTTGAATGTTGAATGGCCAATCCAAATATCCCACATGCCACAAAGCTGTACTATAGTACTAGTATAGTAGTATAGTAGGTACTACAGTACTCTCAGTTCAACAAGAACCAAACGAACATAAATTAATATTCCCTATTGCTCTGTTGAAAATAGTGCAAGGAGCATTACGGTAAGTGAAACTCAAAGCAATACAAACATATCGTGGCAAAATGCTAGATATATATGAAAAAAATGTTTGCTTTGGGTCTCTACCACTCATTCATTTTTACTATTCTGTCTTTGGTGATCAATAATAAATACGCTCCCTGTTCATACTTATAGTAAACATCCCACATAAGGTCAACCTTCGCACATCTGTTTACAAAGTGGAATACATTTTTTCCTCCTCTTTCACACAGAATAATACACGTTTCTCTCTTGCGCGCTACTTAACATTGCGACACCTGTACTGTTCTGTGTAAAAGATGATTTAAGAGAGCGCGCATGCGCTCTCTCCGTGTAATATAAGCAGACAAAAATATTAATTACATTCATTTTAATTGAGGGTAGTCTTGACTTAATTTATTTAGGAAACCCATTTCCAATGTGTTTGTTTACATACCAAGATTGCTAAAAATTGTATTTCACTCAGTAAACAGATGGGTGAAGGTTGACCTTATGTGGGATCTTAAGACTATTAAATAACATGAACACAATTAATAGACAACTGACACAAAACCCTCCATCACAAACTGAAAAAGAAATAAACAAGATTCGCAGAATGATTTTGTATTCAAAATAATCATTTACAGTACTCCATCATTAAAATAGCTCCACTTTAAATTTCGGACCATTTTTACTGTGCAACGGGAGATATTATATTTTCCCAGTAAGTTCGGGAACTGCCTTGAATAAATCAGCAACTAAACCATAGTCGGATACTTGGAAAATAGGTGCTTCCGGATCTTTGTTAATGGCAATAATTGTTTTGCTATCCTTCATTCCAGCTAAATGCTGAATGGCTCCTGAGATACCGACGGCAATGTACAGATCCTAAAACAACAACAATCAAAGTATAGCAATTGCAAATTGGGCACAAAACCGTACAGGGGCCACAATCTTTCCAGTTTGTCCAACCTGCATATCATTTGGTACGTAGCCGGCATCGACAGCTGCACGTGAAGCACCAACAGCGGCTTTCAATTTATCAGCAAGATCGTACAACAACTTAAAGTTCTCGCCCGACTTCAAACCGCGACCTAAGCATCAGTGGTAAATACACAGAAATGAATAGTAGCACTTTACCTCCGCTGACAACAACATTTGCACTCGACAAGTCTGGCCTATCTGACTTGCTAAGTTCTTGGCTTACAAATGTATTTAAATCGGTTGCATAATCACCGGCGGGTGCGGGTTCGGATGCCGCTGAACCGCCTTCTAAACTGCTAGGTTCAAAGCTGGTACCTCGAACCGTCAAAACTTTAATTGGATCAGAAGCAGTTAAAGTTTGAATAGCATTTCCTGGGGGTCAAAATTATTAATAATACTTCTTAAGCTAATGGTAAAATTTACCTGCGTAAATACTACGAACAAAGGTATCTGCAGCCTTAATACCAATAACATCTGTAACTGGAGATGAGTCTAACTTGGCCGCAACCCTCGGCAGCACAGCTTTTGAGAATGCAGTCGCCCCAGCCAGAATATGCGTAAAATTAAACTGTTTCTGGGAAGCAAGTATCAAGGGTGTAATGCTCTCAGCTGTAAACCCCTTAAATGCGTCACTTTCGGCAACTAGCACACGTTTAACCCCTTCCGCTTTGACCAATTTCTCTACAGCCTAAATAGACAGTCAAACATGACACAGTACTAGACAAGTCTACATACCGGACCACATTTCGTTCCAACAACCAAAATTGTAATATCGCCTCCAATTTTCTTAGCTGCCGTCAAAGCATTTTGTGTGATCGGCGATAGGGCTTCATTATTATGTTCCGCGATAACCAACGAACTTTGTAATCGTTTCAGCTGGTTAGAAAACTACAAAAACGAAATAAGCGACTAATAAGACCATATAGGGTAGATACGTACTTTGGATGTTAAATTCCTGCTGCAATTAGAAAACATTGTTAAAGCGAACGAACACTGTAACGAAATGAACGATTCAACAATCCTCTAATTAAGGGATCAAAGTACAAAATTACAAAATAGATTAGGGAAGGTATGTAAATATGGTAACCTTAAAAGTAAGGTTATGAATCGTCGGGGTACTTTAAGATTCTGCTTGAGCCGAAGGAGTTTCTCCTTTTTTGTCTTTTAGAGATGGTAAAAGGCTTTAAAACTCAACATTTTTGAATATTTAGAAAATTTAAAATGTCAATTGAAAAAGACAGTGGCGGCGCAGTTGACAACATCCCCCAACGAAGATCGACGCCACTGACATTCAAGTAAACCTCTCTTCAATTTAGAGATCAAAACTGTGAAGATGAGGTTTGGTGACACCAGGGATTTGGGCCTAATAATGGTACCGGTTCTGACGCTTTTATTGAAAAATATTGGTTCCGATCCGGGTTTCGATTTTACAAATTAATAGCAGTTTTGGTTCGGTTTATAACGTTTTTTTCGGTTCCAAGGAAGGATCTGGAACAGTTCCAGTTCCAAAAATGAGCATTACACATATCTGTTTTGGGCTCAACTTCAGAGAGCAATACCGACACATACGAATAACTCTTATTTACTGTTTGTTTATAGGTAGGTATACGTACACTTGCTTAAAAACGTTGTAATAAAAACACATGCATATAGGATGGGAGGAAGGGGTTCACCACTGCCCTGCTTGTCTTAGTCAAGCAGACTCCTTGGGATGGATCAAGTTAAAGAGTTGGTAAAAGTTAGAAGGGATGCACGCTGTGCGGCCAATGGGAGATATCGGGGCTAAAGCACCCCCCAAAATTGTAAAGGGAATAAGTGCTTACACATAGACAAGAAGGGGACAAATGCAATGAATTCGATGTTCCGGTTGTCTTAGCGTCAGGGTTGCCAACGACAAGCTAAATTCGTTTGTTATTAATGCATTGTATTAAGCCAAAGCTCACCCCCCTCCCCCGAAAAAATGGTAGGTACTAAGACAACTCATAATTCTTGCACCTCCCAAAGCAAATTTCTGATTGCGCCACTGAAATCTAATATGGTGTGAGGGGAATGAGGTTAAGCGAAAAGGCACGCACCGCATCACAGTTTATTACTTAATGCAATGGCAAATAAACCTGGACTATTATACTAATTATGAAAGCGCACTCACTATTATTTATTAAATCAGAAAATTATTATTTTTAATGTTGCGCAATCGCGATTTTGACTAAATGCATTTCATTTATATGTACCAAATTTGGTTCAATTCAATGCAATAGTTTAGCCATATGGAAAATCGTCAAAATTTGAGTTTTTGTTACTTTGATACACTTGCGCATGCCCGATTCTGCCTATGTATATGTGTACAAATTTGGTTATAATCGATTCAAGCGGAAATGAGAGTACAGACAGACAGACCGACCGACATAATCGAGATTTGGATTCGGATTCCTGATGCTTTCCATAAAAAAGAACATAGGTATAATAAATCAATATCCTATACCAAAATGAGGATGTAAAATAAAATTCCGATTTTGAGGGCGTCTTTAGGTGCCAATAAAAATGTTGTAATAGTTATTGTTCTATATTCCGTTTATAAATATAAGACATTCCACCCATTTTGTTTCATTAAATACTAGGGCTTATTGGCAGTCTTTACATAATGGAATGTACATTAGTGTTTTAAGAATAATTTTACAGCCATTCATAAGTATTCAACAACAGTTACATGTGAATTAACAAAGAATAAATACAGCTACACATGTTCTGTTAATCATATCAATATAATACTGCCCTACCTGTCTAACATAAAGGTGTATCTGATATATAACAACATATTCTTTGAAGACTACATTACCATAATAATAAGGTATTGACTAAAAACTGTATACAACAAATAAGGACTATCTAAAACAATCTAAGATGACTGAATGCTGGTTGTATTTAAGCGACTTTGCTCGAGACCCAGTTGTTGTACATTATGCGCAACAGTGTCAGGTATTGGAAGTGGTTTGGCAACACCTATTCGCACGATGCCTTTAGGTGCTCCTTTCAATGCCTGCACGGCATGATCCAATGACGCATTTTCTAATACTGTATCATTAACGAATAACAAACGATCGCCAGGGATCAATCGTCCATCCATTTGTGCGACACCCCCAGGTACTAAACTTCGAATCACAATGACTGTATCATTTGGATCTATTGGATCTTGGTAATCCAATATCGAGAAACCTAAACCTCTCTCTCCTTTAACCAACTCTATTATTTGCGGTTCGGAGCTCCACATGGCTAAACCGGTCAAAGGTTCCAAGGATCTCGATTTCATTTTGTTAAACATATTATCTGGTGCGACGACCGAGGCCACACTGGTAGTGAGGGAACCGTCAGATTTTGCTTTAACTAGTCTATCAGATGCGGGTAACAAATTTTGAAGACTGCCACCTAAAGCCCCTCGTTGCGAAAATGGGGACTCTTGAGACACACGGTAAGCGGTGGAATTAGACAAACTTCGACCACACACCATTCGAACATTAATTGGCAATTCCTTTAAAATACTAACGACTTCGTGATGATTCATCCCCAGAAGTCTATGACCATTAACCTCGAGCAGCTCATCTCCAGATCTAAGCTTACCGTTCCTTCCTACAGGCCCTTCTGGTAATATAGACCGAATGTAATGATGAGGGCGAACCTCCTGTCCATCCTCAACGTCAACTGTACCCTCCAAACTGATTCCGAGCCCCCCTCGTTCACCATACTTGGTGAGCTGAGCGATAACGATATCGGTATCGGCCCCCATTATTTTTAACCACTTCGCCTTAATTGCCTCTTCGATGGCGACCGTTAATTCGGTTATTTCTAATTGCTTTTGCTTCAAATATCCGAGGTGATCGTTTTTTGTTTCCACAGGTTCTTCGTCTACCATATCGTCTGTGTAGTCCCCTTCTTCTGTCAATGGAAATCTGAAATTGATGTGAAAATAAATAAAATAAATTAAATCAAAAAAGTGTACACGGTTAGTAAACTTACAATCACATTGAATACACAACTAATGTAGGCAAGTGGATGGAATTAAGCTAAAATTGGTTATATTAGTAGAAGCTACAAGTCACAAGCATTAGTTATTATAACAACCATATCGCTCTAGCAGAACATCTTAAGGCATAAACCTGTTTAAAGACATGGTGTAAATAAAAATGAGATTCTAGCACAACACTGTAGGTTCGTAGGGCTGAAGTATTTATTACCGTGGTACTCTTGGAGGGCTGGACGTAATCGCCGGTTTAAGCTCGCTAGCTGCAATTGCTTGCTGCAACTGCTCAAATTTCGGCCCATGTAAGTACCGCTCCAAGCACAACTTGACTACGTTCCCACTACTACGTAAGACCTCGACCGCCTGCAGGTTCGTGTATCCCTGTAAGGAGCGGTCGTCCACCTCGACTATACGATCGTTCACTCGAATTTTTCCACTTAAATCAGCCGCACTACTTCTACTAACACTTTTTACAAATATTCCCGACAATTCCTCCTTTTCGCACACATAACCGGCGATGGTTATACCGAGGCCATTGTGATCTTTCTTTAATTCGACAGTAAACTTTTCCATTTCGGGGATTTTCACACCCACATCGATGTTTAACTGATTTAACGACGGCGACAGAGGTAAATGATTCAGTCCCGACACCGCCTTGGATTGATCAAATACCAGCGGATCAAAATCAGAGCTATTCTGGTGAAATATCGGCGCATATTTGTGTTGCAGAAGATACCGGTCTAGTTCCACTGGATCAGTTAGTAGTCGAGTCGGTACTAATGGGGCGGAACTACTCAAATATTTATAATCTGTGGAAGAAATGGAGAGATCGGCAGGTCTTGCGACAACGAGTCGAACGTGCGTTCCTGATTGTCTTAGTACTGTTGCCACTTGTTCCGATCCCATTTCATGCAGATTCACTTCACCAATCTGTAATAATAAATTACTTCAACTTTAATTCTTTATCAAACATATTTGTTTAATTCTCCATACACTGGATCTTCAGGTGTAGTATCAAGTAGGGACAACCGCTACCACATTTTGGAAGAAGCAATCACAGATGGAAAGGGGACATCCTTTGTACTCAAATTTGAGATAAACACAGAAGATGCTCAACCTTACATATCGATTTTCACAGATTGATGGATCCAAAACATCGTAACTGACAATTTTAGAACACCCTGTACCTCCACAATTTTTCTTTCCCAGAAATTATTTTAATTTGATTTAATTGCTTTTAGTGAGTTAAGTACACAAATAAGTAATCCATCACATAAAAAAACAAAAGGGATGACAGATAATAGTCATGAGAAAATTGACTTTTCTTGGTAGTTCTATCTGCGCCAATAATATTTCTACGGTTTTTTCCAAATAAACCAAGGGTCCGAAGTATTTCGTTTGAGACTGACAACCCAACTATCCTTTTTACTCAGAATTTTGGGAATGCCCTTTCCAATTGAGTAAAAATTAAAATCAAGAGTTTAAACAAATTTAAAAAACAAAAAAAATTATACAGGATGGTTAGAACTCTAAAAAGTAAGGAGACCAAAAAACAAACCAAGGCTCTAAAATGTATTAAAATGGCGTTTGAGAGGTCCAAAATTTTGTAAACATTTTCTGACAATGCCTAGAATTTGACGATTGCAGCATTTGTCTGGCAATTTGAAAGTTATCCCTGGCTAAACCCTCGTTACTTAGATTTGGTTAACGGAAAACGGAAAAGCTGTTGAATGTACTCATTAAAACAGAAAGACAATAAAAATTACCTATTTTAGACATAGAATCCAGTGGAGTAGTATAAAAAAATGTTTGAATCACTGTTTTGACCCAAAGTTGGTATTTTTTAAATCCAACACCCTATATACCTTAACATCAATTTTTGCAAGTATCACAACCTATATTTTTTTGTCTCTTTTATTTGGCGAGATTCGAAAAAATGGTCAAATATAATATAATAATAATAATAATAATTATATTGTATATTGTATTGTATTGTATATTGTATAATATTGTATGCGACTTCACGATCTATCCCATGACATATTGAAATTTCCTGTGTCACTTCCGGTGAAAACGTAAATTGATGAAACTTTTGTTTTTGAAATTCAATGCCTATGTTTTTTAAGGTCTTTGAAAAGAACAATCAATTTGTTGTACAGCATAAAATATGCATATGGTTGATATATACAAAGTGGAGAAATTTGTAATTCAATATTTAGAAAAAAAAAATTTTTTAGATCTCGCCAAATTGATTGTATGAACTGCCTTTAATTACCATGAATAAAATAAACAAAGCAAAATCTCCATGAGTCTATGGCCTACTATTTAATAACAGTAAAAAAAGGTTTTCATAGCTAAAAAAATATAGGGATACATCAATGTAATCAGAAAAAAGAATAAAAAACCAATTGACGTTAAAATATACAGTGTTACATTTAAAAAAATACCAACTTTGGATCACATCTCAGACACGGTGGTCCAAATTTTTGTTTGAATATGCCACTGGATTCTACGTAAAAATATTTACCTTTTTTTCTATCCTGAGGTGGCGTTTACATTGAAAAATTGGAAATTTCTTCCACAATGACTGCCTTTTGGGTCAAAATTTTTGGTTGAAATAACATTAATTCAAATATATAATGTTATGACATTTGCACGAAACAAAAATTATTTATCTAATTCCGCCACTGTCGCAGTTATTTAAGAAATAAGATCTTAAAAAAGTGCCATATACAGAGTGGCCCAACGAGAAGTATACAGAGGGCTTTTAGGGTATTAAATTTAGAAATTTCGAAAAATCCTCGAACATGTCAATTTTGTATTCGAGGGGGACAACTTTTGGAATACAAATCACGAACCCAAGTCTTCACCCCTCTACGTAGGGAGCTTAACCCCTAAAATTTTAAATAGAATCCTATGGCAAATGGCACATTATTTGAAAGCCAATTTAATCGTGATTACTAATCTGCTTTGCTTTTTAAATTCTATTGATTCGATTCGGAGAACTGACAGGTTCACTTAAGTTTAACAAACAAATTGAAGGGTCAAAATAAAATGTTTATAAAGGTGACTTAGATTAGATTGACATTTGTTTTGGTTTTTTTAGAAAAAACCATTTCAAATGCGAATTATCTCCGATACGAATCAATAGAATTTAAAAAGCAAAGCAGATTAGTAATCACGATTAAATTGGCCTTCAAATAATGTGCCATTTGCTATAGGATTCCATTTAAAATTTTAGGGGATAAGCTCCCTACGTAGAGGGGTGAAGACTTGGGTTCGTGATATTTGTATTTCAAAAGTTGTCCCCCTCGAATACAAAATTGACGTGTTCGAGGATTTTTCGAAATTTCTAAATTTAATACCCTAAAAGCCCTCTGTATACTTCTCGTTGGGCCACTCTGTATAATAATCTTGCATTTTTATCACAAAATGATAATAATTTGTTATCAAAATTAACTTCATTCACAAGCTTAAACCTTTAGCAACCATCGCTCGTTAACAGGCAAGGCCACAAACGCCACCTTAGATTGGTATGGCAAATGACAAGCAACTTGCAAGACAGCTAGTAATGCAATTTAAACCACATAGTAAGTTACTGGTACCAGTGGACCAGGTATGAAAGTAAATAGCTCGCTAGATTATTTACTAGCTCACTGGTAGGCTAGTTACTTGTACTAGTAGGTGGTACAAGTAACTTGTAAATGCCGCTTTACATTCGTAGTTAAGATATGATAACATATAAAAAAGTCAAACTTTCCGTTTTCACTGTGCATCTCATAAATAAATATAGCAAAGCGCTTGCACGTTTTCACACTAAAATTGAATCTGAATATCGATTTTGATATTTTTTTATATAAAAAAAAATCAAATACCAATGAATACCAAACGATCTTCCAGTTCGTTTTTGGGGCTTGGGGCGATAAGTCTACGTAGCTGAAAAACGACCTTTCTTATATCCTTAAGAACATGTGTACCGATTTTCAAAGTGATCAGACATTTCTTGTGCCAAAGTGTCATGCACATGGGCAGACAGACAATGCAAAATGATAAATGATTTCGTATCTCGTAAATAAAATAATGAATTATTATTATTAAAATATAAAAATTAGAGGAAAATTCTTTGAATCAGTGGGTCTCAAACTGATTTCCATGGCGCCCCCTTTCATAAATCTAATATTATCTCACGCCTCCCCCCCCTATTCCGATTAAAAAATAAAAAGTGCTGTTACTACACACGTATTTAATAAAAAAATTACAGGATGAGTTTTTTTTCATTATGGGGAAACCGTAAGAGAAACAAAGCCGTTTGGGGCAAATTTCTGCAAAATTGTATGGTGATTAATTTTCCCGAATTATGGCAAAAAACCGAAAAATGTCTCTTTCGAGAATACTTTGGCGTCCATTTATTTTCAAAGATATCAACAAATAATTTTAACAAAAGCTTGGTAAATTTTTCTCAACTTTCTGACGGTGCTAAAAAAGTTGTTATAGCCCATAATAGTATAATGGCACGACGCGACGCGAAATGAATATTTAATGTATAATTCAAGTTTTTCACAATCCAAGGTACCTTCAGTCCCATCTAACTCGAATTACCGGGACTTCACTAAATATTCAACCAACTAAGGTCATATGGGTATTTTCCCAGTTCAATCAAACCAGAGCAATTAATATTTATTTTAACTTTGGGAAAGACAAATACACTAATTATTTAAATCTAATAAGATTACCTAATGTGCCCATATTGGTCTGGCAACATGGAGTGCCTTTTGTACATTTGAAACTAATTTCAAATGTCTCACAACCTATACAATGTGTTTGAAAATACAAAAAAGTGAGATTCTGAACAATTTCCCTTACCATTGCAGGACAGCACGCGGATGCCGGCTGAAACAAACGGTTCTTATTGAATTCCCCAGGTCGCTAGAGTTCTTTAAAATGTGAACCGCAAAGTATATGAGACGGTATAACACATTCTAAACAATGTTTTTAGATCGATAATAATTAACCGAAATCCCCAATTAAAAAATAACAAAATGGTGAATTGAGGGCGCATGTCTAACCCTGCGACTTAATGTCACTTTCAATTGTTTCAATTTACATTTTAGGGGAAATTAAAAACTAGTCAATAGTGGAAGTTTTAATCTGTAAAGATTAAAGTTGTGTTACCATAAATAAAGTTGAATTGTGAAATAGTGTATATTGTTGAGAAGCGTATAATAGAATACTAGAAGTAATACAATTTCACCAAAGTTGATTTGTGCAATTTTTAACTTCTTTATCATTATTTTACGGGTAGCCGCTTTAGAATTAAAAAATTTTTCGAATTTGTATTTTGGTTAACATTTCCACATGTTCCGCTTCATAGCGAACGTGAACGAAAGTATGTTTGGCGATAAGAACTGGTACGTTTTCGATAAAAGTAGGCATTGCATTTGTTTGTACTTCTATTTATGAGTGAAACCAATGTTTTACATCCAGGAATGTGTAAAAAGAAGTGGAATTTGATCGCCTATATTTTCAATCCACTAAATTCACATGCGTATTTATTCAGAGTTCAATCCGAGGTTCAATCAAACCAAAACATTAGACTTTTTTCAAATTCATTTCAAATTTTAAGAGGAGATCAGAGGTAAAGGGTGTACCTATATGGGTTTATTCATTATTTTATGCAGCATGTTCTAGAAATAAAAATTATGCTATTGTGTTTTGTCTGTCCTGCACATCTAAACCCACTACTGTGGTTTTAACCTACTTTTACAAGAATTTTTTTGAATATGCCTCTCCATAAATTATTACCTGAAATTTAATTTTTGCCTTTTCAAGCAAGAAGCTAAACTGAAGATGAAACCTTACAGCCTGTAGAGAAAAAGAAAACAAACAACAGGAGAAACAAAGATTTATAAAATTCAGTTGCAAAAAAAGTAACAAATAAATGTTCAACTTTCCTAAATTGTTTAACCAAGAACTGATGCAGTTTTGATAACAAAACCAACAATGACTTCTAGACTTGCGTCAAACCTGATTACCCCACTTTCATTTACCATCTCCATCGCAGTTATATGGCTCAATTTCTTTGGGGAAAACCTCAAACAAATTTGATTACCAAAAACTGAAAATTAAAAAGTTGGGATGAAATGCTTCTATCCTCACGGTCTTGGTAAAGGAATAGCTTTCCATCAATTCCTGTCCCATCAGAATGAACTCAATTAAAGTCGTCTCAGGGTATTCACAAAATTCGAGATGAGTCAGTGGGATTAAAAATGTCGCACATAGCGCAAGAATATCTCCACACTAACCAAGAATTGATTCCCTGAAAATTCGATCATTATAGAAAATAATTCCTAATGTTGCAACCCCTTCAGTGAGTCCCTCTAATAAAGCACATAGAAGGCACATGTCAAGAATCAGAATCAAAAAAACATACGGAATGATTAGTTGCACAATATTCACCTGTAAAATATGATCTCCACTTTGCAATCTACCATCACGGTCAGCAACTCCCCCAGGTAAAATAGTCTTTACCACGACTCCCATCGTTCGGACACCAACTATGCCAAAACCAAGCCCGGTACCGTCATTCACTAAATCAATACCCTCCACCTGAGCCCATTCCGTACTTAGCAACATATCCGAGCCTGCCTTAGAGGAATCGCTAACGGCAGATGGAGATCTATGGACATTTTCTTCATCTGTCCTTGGAACGATCGTCAAACCTTGAGCTTTTTGTAAAATACGCAATGCCTAAAATGGAAAGTGCATAAAGGTGTTTTTTTATTTAACATCTAACTACCTCTTGATGTGATATGTTAGGATCTAATTGTTTTCCGTCCACTAAAAGTATTTTATCGTCCGAGACATTGAAGTTGTGCACTTGAGGTGAACTGGGAGAAACCGGTGCTGACGGCACCCTTTGCTCGTCAAAATCTTGCGAGTGATGGAAATCCTCCCCATAACCGGGATCATACAGTTCACCACCCGGAGGAACGTTTATGGCTAATTCGCCTGATGGAGTTATATCGAAATCGACGGGCAATATGGAGGGATGCTGTCCCAACTGTTGATTTAACTCGCTTAGGGAGTCTTGAACTGTCACTATACTTCTAAATATTGGATTCTCTAATACTGAAATTAATAAATTGAGATCTTGGTTTGTGTTTGCTTGAAGTTTGAGGTCATCTAAATCTTCTACTGTTTGTTTAATATCTTCTAATAACTGAAGAGCACTAGATATATCTGCGTTTAAATGCATTGAGTTGAATGAAATATTTAAATGTTTATAATAATTTACAACAAAAATGAACACAACAATCAACAGAAAGTAAATGATAACTGAGAACTGACAACTAAGCATTGATTTTTTTAACTTTCCCATTACATAAGCGACGTTGCCATGAAATTTAACATGTACAGGGTGATTCATAGTACAATGAGTTCAACAGTGGCAAGCTTACCGATGGGTGCCCATTAAAATTAAAGCAGAAAATTGGCTCACTTTCTACTGACAGCTATATAAAAATGCATTAGTGAATTCCTTCGAGATACGAGGATTGTATCGACGGATATCAGATGCAATTCATCTAAGCGGTCTGGCGACGCACCTCTTAAACTTTTGAAGAGGTCCGTGGGTCTAGCCAAGGCTGCAAAACATTATTGATACCATTCGTGAGCCCACACAGTTTGAAGAAAATATTTATGCCTACACTGCCTTACGAGATTATTTATTGACTTTTATCTTTTCATAAGCCCTCGACACCACTAACGTCGTTGACAACCATATAAAGATATGATGAAGGAAGGAAACCCAACTCGCTGGTGTCAGCACCTCTCGAATCGGCAGAATCGTTCGTGCCCATGCTGAAACAATATGACTAAAATAGGCATTTCGCGTTTCATTGTATATTTAAAGAGTAGCAAATTCCTAACACTCCGTCCATTATAAAATAAAGGCAATAAAAAAAACAACTTTTTCCGGTTTTCGGTCTCTGAATGGTAAGGCTCAAATGGAAATTGGACCACTTGTTGAACCGGGGCACGCCGAAAGTCTCGTCTTACTCAACAAACTGCTTCCAGACCTCTCGGATCGCAAGTGACAAGGAATGGCAAAGATGCTTGTATCACTAAGCGTAGATTGCGTCACTCCTCAAGAAGTTTTTAAGAAAGGTAGAGATCTCCGCCGTCATAAGCCTGTGGAGAAGGGAAAGGGTATAGAGGTTGTACAAATGGACTGTTTATTTCTTGATGCTGCAGTTTACTCCGTATGAAGCCATTAGTACCGAGCTTCGAGTTATTGCCTTTGAGAAAGATCTTCCAGTTTCGAACTTGCAGTACCGAAAAAATATACTGTTGTCGTCCTCAAGGCCGTATTTCCGGGTTAGGCACAGCACAAGAATTTCCCATGGATCGATTTAGAACGTTCAGTCATGGACATTAGAACGTTCCTTGAACGTCCACGTGAAGTACATACAGTGCAATTCATTTATTAATCTTGAAACTTAAAAAAATCTACGAGCATGTCAGGTTTATAAAATAAATTACACGGTCACGTGTTTGTCTTCATTCTTTGTACGTTTATTGCATCGCCTCAGCCATGATTAGAACAGCTTTTTTAATTTGTTGACACAATATACCTGAAAAATTGTAATTATTAATCAGCAATATAATATAGATAATTTTTACTTCCATAAGGATGAAAAAATAAACGATGCGCTATCTTAAACGAAATCTGATGGCGTACCGGTTGTAGTTGTGACCGAGCGCGTTGTTAGTAGTAAATTCTTACAAATGGCGACATGGAAACGTCCTTAATTAAAAAAAATGCAAATTATACGCTTTTCGCAAACGGCCTGGTCATTTGTTAAATAAATGAATGGTCATCACGTGTTATATGTTTATTGTAAAAGTATTTTCGTAAAGTTGTGTACAAAGGACATTCATGGGACGTATATTTAAAACATTACCAAAACGTTTCGGGACGAACATCTACTTATGGATGTTCATTTAGGTCCATGGGCATTCGTACATATAATGGACTTAAAACGTACGTATATATCTTTTCGTAAACCTTTTTTTCCGAAATAGTCGTGAAACCTTTGCTATTGCTGATTGCTTGATCTTTCTTTTTTATGCTCCTCTACTAGCTTTGCTTGAAGATTACACGTACCGTTTTGAAATGCACATGCATTTTTTCCAAATTTTCGATGTTAACTTTAAAACTAGGTACGACAAATTGAAATTTTGAAAATTCGCTCTTACTTCCCGCATAATTTTTCCGTCAGCGATCCATTTTTCCCAAAGCAAGTGCTTCTTGCAAGGCTCTCTCTTACTAAGAGCTGCACCGAAGATTTTGGATCTGTTGTCCAAGAAATTGGATTTTTGCCTAAAAAAAGTTGGAAATTAGTAAATCTTGTCGCGCCACCGACAAAATATCCAAATCCTAGTTTCCAAATTGGTTGGATAATTTGTCGCTTTATTTGGATTTGGATAATTTGGCGATAAAAATTGAAAATCTTGACGAAAACAATCCACATTTGCAAAATTTGTCTCTAAAAAGTTGGAATTTGAATTTCTTGTCGGTCCCTGGCCCAGACCTGAGCGGTGAAATCGTCAGTATACAAATCACCAGAATCCTCCAGCATGGAAACTGGATGTTGAACAACTTCTACAGCCGTCATGGAGACCCTTCTGGGTCTGCTAGATCTCCACGTGAGGAAGCATAGACCACTCTGGCATCCTTGCGTCTAAAAAATAGGGGGTTGTTAGAATAGCAGAGGTACAGTGAGGTGGGGGATAACGCTTAATTTATTCACAAAAAATAAATAATTTCAAAACAAACAAAGAATATAAAACTAAATTATCATATTATACTAAGATTAGGAAGGTATTTGGTAGTTTGTACTGATGAAACTTGTTTAACAATAATGATCAAAATTGTTTAATTCGCTCTGCTTCCGACATTATCTTCAATAAGCTTTGAACCACCTTGATCCATTTTTCCCAAAGCAAGTGCTTCTTGAAAAGCTCTCTCTCGCCATGAGCTGCATCGAAGATTTTGGATTTTAGATCTGTTGTCCAGGAAAATGAATTTTTTACCTAAAAAAAGTTGGAAATTTGGAACTGGATGTTGAACAACTTTCACAGCAGTCATGGAAACCCTTCTGGGTTTGCTAAATCTCCACGTGAGGAAGCAGTAGACCACCCTGGCAACCTTGCGTCTGAAAAATAGGGAGTTGTTGAATAGCAGAGGTACTGTGAGGTGGGGCTGGGGGATACACTCGAATTCTGAGCGAGGCGATTATTGCCTACCCAGAGAGGGCGCTCGGGCTCGCTCACTGCTCCATTCATATTAGGGAAACACTATCTTTCTTGATGAGGATGTGGGATCCCAACCAGACATATTCATATTCATCTTCACGGATGGATTTAAAACAATGGAAGGAACAAGCACCAGAGTTGCTAGGACTAACGCTTAGTGCAAGAAAAGTTCTTATGAATCTTAATGCATAACATAAAGGACAAAACTATCAGAATCTGAGGGAAAATTACCTGTAGGTTGGTTTCTGAATGTCACCATGCACTAGAGGAAGTAGTAAGCAGCAACGCACTTGAGCTCACACGGGTCAAAGGGGATGCTGAAACAGAAGGTAATGAGAAAGCCGATGAGTTAGCCCCACAGAACAGGTGTTTTATGATGATACAGATCCAGCTCTTCCACTTGCCACTATAAACTACTAAGAAATTATTTTATAATTACTATGACACCCAAACCCAACAGAGGGCTAGGTGGAACATGTTAGATTGTCGCCATGAGAGAAAAGTCTTCAAAGGACCATCTTGTAGCCTAGCGCGTTTTTGTACAGGGCTATCAAGAAAAAACTGGTTACTTGTGGGCATACTCTCTGGGCACTGCAAACAAAGAATTACAATCTTACATGATGTTAGAAGATGAGACGGCCACACCACATACTTTGTGCATGTGCCACTCTAGTCGAACAGACATTCCATGGTGGAGGCATCCTGGCCAGATCCAGATATCACACAAAATAATTGATAACGTTTAATTTATTCACAAAAAATAAATAATTTAACAAGACAAACAAGAATATAAAACTAAATTATCATATATACTAAGATTAGGAAGGTATTTGCTAGTTTGTACTGATGAAACTTGTTTAACAATAACAATCAAAATTGTTTAAGGTACACTTCTAGAAGAGAAGATGCTCACTTTGTTGCGGAACTATTAAAAAAAAAAATAAATATTGATGCCTAAATTCCGCAAATGAGCAGTGACTTAACAAGTTAAAGTGGATACAAACATGGAACAAAATAAACATTATAACTCTAAACAAAAGATAAATACTTTGTTACAATAACAGCCTTGAGTAATGAAATAAAATCAATCGCATTATTGCAGTTGAATACTGCCGTACTCGTAATCGATTGGTTTTGTTGCAACGTACTCCAAACTTGGAATGCAAGTTTTCGAGTGTTTTGTTATAATATCGTGCCAGATTGTATGCTTACGCGACGCCTCATGGTGAAAGTAAGATCCCCAAGTCGAAGATATTAAAACCAGCTCGTCTGCGTGATTGCGATCGTGTCCAAAAACGCCTTCGGCCTGCAACTCTTCGCAAATGGCGACTGTATCGCATGGAGTATGAACAGCCGGAGTATAAACATCCTGAACCAAATTATCGCCAAAGTACAATATCTTCGGATCATCAAGACCAGACTGCTTCTTCAGGAAATTACGCAATCCCTTCCAATTGCCGTAAGTGTAGACTTCGCCACGCTTCAAATCCTTCTCGTCGATGGGCCCAATTTCTTCAAAATCGTTTAAAGCGATAAACGGTCGGTCACCAATAAAAAATCCGGGTTTCTTTGCGAAACATATAACGATATCGAACAATTCCTTCCAGTCGGCACCCAGAGAGTTGGAAGCTGTATGCGATGCGAAATCGACATTAGAGCCAGTTATAACAAACAGCAGTTTATTTTTGCTTCGTAAACCTTTAAACCAATTAATTAACTGGTCGCTACATTTATGAATGTACTGTTGGGGGTTCTCCTTAATTTCCTTGAAGTAGCCGCCTTTGTTCAACTGAAAGTGCTCCTTTTGGAACATATCTTGTATTGCATCTAAGAGATCTGGCCAAATTTTGTACGACTTTAATGGCCCCCCGTTTTGTTCGTCCAGCGAGTCCACAGCTCGCGCAAATACAAGGCCGGCAGGCATATCAAAGTAATCCAAAAGTGTCCGCATTTTCTCAGAAAACGGTCCATTCCATGTATGCAAGGGGTCATTTGAGAAGTGATCGGTGGCTTCCCAACGACACGGTGTGCCGTAATAGTCGACAAGCTGCTGACGGGTTAACTCTCGTGTACCGTGGCTTCCGTGAATAATGTGACCGTCAGATGCGATGCGTAGCAAATTTCCATTCTCAACGTCGAGAATAAGTCCTTTTAGCATGAAATCCAAGTTGTTTTCCATTGGCTTCAGCAAGTGGTTGGATGGATAACCTTTCTGCTCAACCAGAAACTTTGACAAAGTTTCATATTCTAACTTAATCATAGCGCCAATTTTATATCGGCATATGGTATTATCCAAATCGAATCCTAGACAGTCATAATCGCTGAATTTAATACTATGACCAGACATTGTAACGGTTTTCGCACGAAATTCGGACGTGGTTTCTAACCTAATCGCATTATTTATTGCGCCTCTTCCTGTGGCTGTACTAAACCGAATTCGAGCACGAACGCACGCAAATTTGTTGCAATCTCTCAGGAAGAGCTTCCTATGCAACCAACGGGACGCGATCATCGCGAAACGAACTAAAAATGTATTATTTACACTTTTTTAAATCCCTTCACTTGGGAAACTGGAAATTATTAACATCATCTCGTTTAACTTTTTCGAATAGACTAGTTATTACATAATGCGTACGTTTCGCAAATAACTCCATTTTACCTTCATCCTTGGCAATTAATTCGCCCGTTAAAAGGTCGAGTTTCATTTTATTTAATTAATTTAACAGTAAATTGTTATATAAGCACTATATTCTCTATTGGCCATAAAAAACCAATATAAACTATACGCAATACGAATAGGGACGTCTATGAAGAATGAAATTCGCTGCGATCGGTAGCGGCATGCGTAATTCGTACCTATGGATACGTTCACACAACAAAAGCGAATTTAACGATTTTTTTATTCTAATTTTTTCAAGGTATTTCGATTGCCAGCTCACGGATTCAAATTTTTTGAATTGATCGACGTTCCGAGAACGTAAATCAATGCTACCTAGACCTAGACCTCGACCTAGACACAAATACTGGGCCAATGTAGACCGTCCCAGTGGCGTAGCGGCATCCGAGGTGGTAAAGCTGGTGTCATACGAGCGTTTTAGCATTGCAACCCATATGAACTATACTATAGGTTCCGATTCCGGACTACTTCATTAGAATTATTTTTTAATGGTTCCGGTTCTGTGACGTCAATAATTTTCGGTTCCGGTTCCATTGTCTTTTTGTTTTAAGGGTTCCAACATGTATAAACAAAAAATATATTATAGGAAACAAATAATAGCTATAATATGTCTGTCTTTTTCTTTCCTTTTCCTCAGCGGTCGTTTCAACTACTGCTCTCCTCACACATTCTTCAACTCTCTTACTGTTTTTGATTTGACTATCTTTATTTTCGGTATTAGTCACTCTACAAATTCTACAATATTTTATGTTACCTGAATCTCCGTATGGTAAAGTTCACGTAAATAAATCATGAGCATGATTACCCTACCCATCTACCTCCACATAATATTTTATTGTTAATAATAATAACCAGTACCTAATATTAAATCTAAGAAAAATACCAGTTATTTGGCATTTGTATAATGTCCTATACCTAAATTAGATGTATTTGGCATATTTTATGACGATTTTGGCTGCAAACGTCATTATTGTATAGGAATTAAAATATGTTTAAAACGGCTAAATTTAGATATAAAGTGTAGGTATATAACATTTTATGTAGTATGCGCAATATCAACTGTCTTATTTTTCGAAATATCTTTTTGAAATTTTAATCACATATGCTTCTGTTAAGGGCAAACATATCTCATATTGTAAACATTAGATATGCGCATGCGTAGTCTATGCAAACTTCCTTATTTATTAAGAGCTTTGAAATGGTAACCATAGGTGCTTCTAGTAAAGAAAAACGTATCACATTTAGTAACAAGTTAAAAAGTAATCGTAAACGATTTACATAAAGCGCATTTCCCCTTGCATTCATTTCCTATTTGTAAGATGCAACTTTTGTTAAAATTGTAAAAATCCGGCCACAAATATGAAAGATAGCTCGAAAGATAGCGTTGCACATGTGCAATCCATTTTTGACGTGCTACTTCAATTTCAGTTTATAAGAAGAGTTTCATTTCAATGCTTTTCTAAATAAGAAAGTTGGATCTGCGCATGCGCAAACCTAAATTTTGAAGCTAACTTTAGATTTTCCTTTGTTCCAAGTGGCTATGTATCAAATTTCATTTAAATGCTTCCATAACTAAAAAAGTTGGCACTGCGCATGCGCAAAAACAAAATTTTGAAACTGGCGTTAAATTTGCTTTTATTCCAAGTGGCTATGTATCAAATTTCATTTAAATCCCTACATAAATAAGAAAGTTGGCACTGCGCATGCGCAAAACCAAATTTTGAAATTGGCGTTGCTTTTATTCCAAGTGGCTATGTATCAAATTTCATTTAAATACTTTTATAATTAAAAAGGTTTGCAATTCGATTTATAAATGGTCAAGATGCGAAAAGGGCACTGCGAATTTTGAATCGTTTCGACTCAACTTTTGGCATTGCGTATTATATGGCTAAAGCTATGCCCATATTGAATTTCATGCAATTCAGTTCATAACTAACGGAGATGTAAAAGCGATCGGACATTTCTAAACAAAGTTATCGTTCACACGTTAATAAATGACAAAAGTGTATAATTATGGAACATGTAAAAAACGGTTTTTTGTTTTTTTTACAGTAACTTTTTTTGTAAGCGGTACAGAAAAACATCCTTCCTTGGTGCATTGATAGACTCGACTCGACACCATAACGAACCAAATAGCGAAAAAAGTAGACTATAAATGTCATTAGCAAAGGCAAACACATCGCGCATAGTAAAAATCAAATGCGCGCACGCGCCGACTGCAAAATGGCAACTTTCTTTACTTATGAAGATCTCTCTTCGCTTCTAGTAAAAACAAACATATCGCATATAACATAAATTAAATGTGCGCATGCGCCAACTGCGCATTTCAACTTTTTTATGTATGGAGATATTTTTTTGAAATTTTAACCATATAAATGCACATATAATTTGGGAAGTACTGATCAATGCATGGAAAATGCGATGAAGTTACTCGCCTTAGGACGACAACCTTTTTACTTGTTTTTAAATACGCGAAAAATGTGCATCTGATTAATATTGTTTTTATAGTCTACTAGTTAAATCAACGCGAAAAGGTAATAAACGTGTCCACTTGTGCTGAATTTTAAATACATTAAGTTTAATTAATTAGTTTGTAATAAAACCTATGGTCTCCATTACAAAAAATAAGTTTTGTCAACTTCAAAGTTATAACTGACGTAAAAGTTCGGGTAAACTGTATTACTAGAACTTAATTTGCTTATAACTTTCCTCTTCACACATTTTTCTAAAGATCATAATAACGTTAAAGGAGTATTTAGAAAAAATAGTGGTTGCATGCAAGACATTCAGTATATGCCTACTGTAAAAAGCGAAAAACCAAAATAGGTTTATTTTACGTCACACACAGTCTTCTAGTATTCTAGAGCCCTTAAAAATATTTATAAGCGCTAAGGACCTTGAGATTCTGGAAAGAGTCTCCAAAATTCCCTGATAGAGTTCTAAAGATTATTAAATCATGAGTGTTCAAGGCTCTCTGGGGTTCACCACAGTCTCCTAAATTAGATTCCTTAGTAGCGCAAAAGCCTTCAAAAATTTCAAAGAACTTCTGAGTGCAGCTAAGAGCCTGTAGGGGCTTATTTAACACTTAAAAGTCTCCAAAAATCATCAAGGACTTTTGAAGTCATCGTGAATCTTTGAGAACACCACAAAGCATACGAATCTTTAAAGATCTTTGCCTTCACTTTAACAGAATTTAAGAGTTTTAAGAAGTGTATTAGTCATTAAGTCACCCAGAGTCCCTTAGTGTTTTTTAGATCCGCTGACAGCCCTTAAGAAGAGCTCTAAATCTTGCCAATAAGACCTACATAGAACTCAAGACTCTAATAACCCTCCCCCAACCCGGTAAGAAAGGTTGTGTGGGTTGCACATATTTCGACAGTACGTCATCAGGCGGCTAAAATAAATAGTTACATTTTTGAACGATTTTTGAGTCTTAAGACAACATTTCAGACGGAATTTACGTGATTATATTACGAGAGTACGTCCTGTGTGGCGCAGTTGCCTGGATGCGCAACTGCGGTACCAAGAGTCCGTGGTTCGGATCCGGGTTCGGGCATGGATATTTGTAAATGTATAGTGGGTTGGGTTGGTAGAGCAGCCTTGGCTGAAATCCCCGCCCACTTAAAATTAAAGTCCAAATAAATAAGTAAAATAAGATTTATTTTATGGCTTCTGTTTCCAAATATATTCATGTCATTGTGTTGCAAACTGATTACACTTGATCGACCAAATTTAAAGGGTGTGTCATAATTTCATTCTCTGAAATCTTTTCCCTGTTGTAAAATAATCGCTTAGCATTAAGATTGTCACGCGAAAAACAGTGTCAGATTGGGGGCCAGTAGGCTCAATTTTTATGTCGTTAAAAAACTTTTGACAAGTTTTAACGATCTAGACTAGGCGCGCACTTGCAATTTTCTGTCTCGCGATTAGTTAAAAAGATGCAACATGCTCTCTTTACCAATGCCCACAACCGCTGCTTCTTTTTACTTCGAAAGCGAAAGACAAGGGCGATTGTAGCACCCATTCCTTCGAATTCAATAGTGCGACTTTCGTTAAAAAAATCGTATACCTAATATGCGCGTACAGACAAAAAGTTCTATGCACCTACTTGCGGCCGCGACAGAAAATCGCAAGTGTGCGCCTTACCTTATTTTGAACACCGATCACGATTCACCAAGAACTCGCCGATTCCTTTAGGATCTTTAAAGTTTAAAAGTCTTCAACGCTTTACAATCGTTAAGGCCTGTAAGAGCTTTAGAAGGCTTTGTTTTGAAAATTTTCGAAACTGTCTCAAAGAGCCTTCAAGAGCATTTATAAGGCATTACGAACTTTAATGGCCTTTAAGAATCGGATAGTCCGGCAGAGCGTTCACGAATCAATGTAATAATGCGCTACAAAGGGAAGCTCAGACGTCTACAAGCGTTTATTCCTTGTGTACGTATGTACAAGTTTAGGTATTTGTATTTTTTACATGCGTTTCCCTTGCAAAACGTAGAAAGCTCAAATTTAGACAAGAACCCATTTAGTATCTCTGTTACCAGAAGGAGGAACGAACGAGATTTTGACGACCTTTACTTAGATGAGGGTGGCTATTGCCTACTTTATACTATGGTGGGGATCAACCAAAATAAACTTTTTTTATAGCTCTGCGTACACCCTCGGCTCTACATCTACAGTACCGTTTGAAGTTTGAACTTGTGTATGTGTAGTTAACCCTCGACAAAAGAATTATCTAAGTAGATAGGTACATCGTTCAGGTATTTTAGATTATAAGATTTCAAAATGTTTTAAAGCTCTTTTTAAATTGCCTCTAGCTATCGACTACTTACCTACCGGCTACCAACCGGCTTAATCCGAACTTTGGCGCGCATGCTAAAAAAACATGATTTAAGGGTATAAGCGTCGTCTCAATCTTTCTTCGTCGGCTCTTGTTTGTTCTGTGATTTATGACAAACAGGAAACGGCGAAAAGATATATAACCACCTTTAAAATATGGACGCAATAGTAAATTCTTTGTTTATAAAAATGGTACCTACGCTCAAACCGGAGGTACCTGGTCCACCGGGTATATGACTGATTTCTCTGCTTTTATATCTCGGTTTATTAATTTCTCATTATAGTACCTCCAGAAAAATCACGGTTTTCGTTTGAATCAAGAGGTCGACGACTTTTGAAAAATATTTCGAAAGTACGTGTTGTCCGCCTGTATTCAGCCCTCGCGGTAAACTCGCCCGCGGTATATTCGGTCTAAACAAAACCTCACCTCCGGAGGGTTAGTTCCAGAAAGATGTAGGTATACGGAATATATACCCAATTCTATAATTTTCTCATATTTTTATGTTACAAAATTCGCTTGAGAAATTTCACCCAAGTCCACCACCAATTTTTAGTGCAATTCTCTTCATTTTTTTGTCCGGCGGCAAATTGCAGTAGCATTTTTTTCGAATCTTTAGAAACTACTTTCAGATTCGCGATTTTCATGTTCAAAAGCCCCCAGATACCAAATTTTGTCAAAATCACATTTTTTGCAAAATAAAACCTATTCAAAGGTATGCCACCAGTTTTGGTAACTCTTATGGTTGCTGAAAAAAAATTAAAGAAGCAATGTAAATTTCACCACTTTTTTCTTTGATATCCTCTACCACCTAATTGTTTTTACATGCCTAGGCATATGCAACAATCTGTATGTATAGAAACTAGTATTACAACTGAAATCGAGATACTCAGAAACAAAATGATCCTAATAAGTGTTTCTGCTATCTTATTAAATGAGAGGAAGAGGGAGGATTAAACGTGGTCATAAAAAAAATGCTGTAACTTCTTTCTGTTTCTTGAATTTTCAAACTTGATATATACCTAGTTCAAAATTTTTTACACAATAATTTTTATACCCTTTCGTTTTATGCAAAAGATAATATACTGTTCCATTTAAATCTCTAATTTGATCATTTAAACAATGTGTTTCCGATACAAAGTGTGTTGATTCTTAAACAAACCAAGGTTTTCGAAAATCCCTGAATTAAAAAAAAATGTTTAGATGACCACATTCACCCCCGCCTGCATAAACGCACTTTCTTTCCAAGTTTCCCGATTTTTACCATAATACAATTTACGATATATCATTTCCACTTACAAATTGAGATAAGACCCCGTTTTTCTTGTTGTTTTTCCCGTAACAGTGATTTATCAAGCTATATATAATTTCCAATTTCTTCTCTTCGTAACATTGGTGTAAGAAAATGTGACCCTACTACTTTTTGAGATGCATCCGGGTATCATGTTTGTTTGGCCACGCGATACAACGAAAATCACTATACTGAACAGAATTCCACAGCTTGTACTAGGTCGCAAAAGATATCGAGCAAAAATGCCCAGCATGGTTATAATAATGCACCGATTTCGTTGAAAAAACGACCCAATGTTAACGGAAGAAAAATATGAGTAAAAATACCTTAATTTTGTCTAAACTCTCGCTTTCACGATTGTACGCGTAGAAGGAGTGGTATAGCCGCCATACGCATATTTTTGCATAGACTAACAAATTACACGTGACCTTCGGCATTCACATCTTATCGTATGGTACTACATGAAGTCGAAAAAACAGGCAGAAAAATGAACTCCAAATGAATAGGGCCCCTCCAACACTTGTTAAGATAAGGAAAAATAGTACTATTTTTGCAGTTAGCAACACAACTTCATCTTTAAATAAGTTCACCTCAATGAATGATATCGACTTTTTTCACGATCCCCTAAATGTACTAATAAATCAAATTAGATCTTAAGCCTGTCGGTCTGTCTGTCCATCTGTCCGTGACTCCGTGTGCACGATAACTTTGTTTAGAAATGGATATAAGATGGTTATTGTTTTTCAGCTACGCAGATCGTAGACTAACGGTAACATTGCGTGCTCGGCACTTTGCAAATGCAATTGTAATAAATATTGAGCACATTAAATATACCAATTTTAAGAATATAGGGTCACGACTCACAAATTTATACTGAGCAAAAAAAATGTAAAAATTCTGAGTTTCTGAGAAAAATGGCAAAACGTCAATTTTCAGGGTTCGAACCCTTATAAAAACCCCTCTTATTTATTTATTATCGCTCTTGTTCTAGGCCCTCAACAGGGTTACGTCCAGTTACAGAGTGACCCGCATAATGCTATTTAGAGGTGCCCTTGCAGAAGGTCTTAAGTTGTTCTGTACTACTCCGGTATTTACGTTACGAATTAGGAAAACTACAGGAAAACCTAATTCGGAGTAGCCGGCAGAATGCTCGCGAAACTAATCTAAGGAAATTCCCATCTCAGCCACAGATAAAAAATGGTAACCCTTTGAACATTGTTTGTTAGGGAAAGCTTCACGCAAAATTTGATGCTTGTATCAGGCTTCTGGCTTGTAAATATAATGTCAAAATTTTACATTAAGCGACCTCAGTATAAGTGTTTATAACCCTAGTTAATCAACATTTTCCATAATTTTAGAGTAAAAACACCTCCAATACGTTTTTTCACGAACAGCGACTAACTTTGAAAATTTCCAAAAACTAAAACATATAATATGTGTATATAGTTATTTTATGGACTCTAAGTATATAAAGATTCTCCATTAATCACCTAATAAGATTAGAATCAAAACTCCCCTTCATTTGACGAGAACGTCTCCTAGAAAAACGACTATAAATTAAAAAAATAAAATAAAACTTTGAGTCGTATTTAGGGGTTGTTAAGTGCAGATTGTCTATAAATCACCATTTTTCGTAAAATTAGACTTAAAACTCCTCTAAATGAGAAAAGACCGTAGTTTCTTTTTTTACAAAAACAGTTGTGTACCGTTAGCACATTTCAAAAAATGATAACAATGTACTCATTTTTAAACACAAAGTACCTACATAGTGGTTACCTACCTGAAAATGTATTCAAATTTCAGATGTACACAGTTTTTTATTTCCCCCTTTTCAGTCCCTATTAAACTTTATAATTCGTCAACATTTTGCAATTTTAAAGAAAATTGCTCCCTTTTTCTAATGGGAGCTTGCTTGTGGGAGTTTGGTTAAGGATAACAAAAGCATTTCTGGTGTTAAATACATATGGACACTGGTATGGATATTCTACTTGTTCTTGCAAGTCTTCTAATGAATTAGGTAGCGTTGCAAAAATGTTGAGATTTTAAATAAGTGCACAAAGGTCTCAATTTGACATATTATGGATCACTCCGTATGTCGTATGTGTCAAAGCAAGCGGAACAAAAATATGGTTTTCCGAAAATGAAAATTCACCTACTTTTCCGCGTCTATTTTGATATACTTACATATAATATAATTGCAATAAAATAACCCAGGGTGGAAATTTTCAAAGCATTACCCTATAATACACACAACTTTTTGCTTTTGTCGAATACGGAAATATCGATTTCTTTTTGTCTACGTGTTGGGTCCTTCCAGAACGTCTGGATTCGACACTTCTGATGCTTCCCATTGCAGGGAATACAGTCCTACTTGTCGAACCATTAAATAAAAACACTATTTTAATTCAATGGTCGAAATTCATGTTATAGGTACCGATTAGAAACCGGCCAAGCGGTAAAGAGATAAATCGAACACATTTGAAATAGTGATTCATCATTGAGCAAAATCGAAAGTTTTGACTGATGTGTCATAGTACATTCATTAGTAGAAGTTAACATTTCATAATTACAACTCACCAATTATTCTTGATGACAAAAGTAAGCAGATGTTCAAAAATGCAAAAACCTGCTCTTTTTCAGAGCTACAAATATCGATAGCCAATATCCGAAGTTCCAAAATAGGTAATCGCAAACTTTGCAATTAGCGAGATTTCAGAATAAGAACATAAGTATTTATTGAAAAACTACATGCTAAACACTACCTTTCTCTGCACGACAGCATCCTCCATAGTCCATTCATCCCCATTTATAGTCACCCTCAAAAATATTCTCAAGTTCACATAACAAACGATACGATATTTACGCACACGCACACAAACCCGGCCGCGAAATATCTGCGATAATAAGCAAGTCTAATTCAAATTTGCCGTTATCAGTTACCTCCAATTCAATCAAATCAAGTTTTTCCATTTACATGTGTCAGTTCTATGCCGTGTGATTTAACCACCCTATCTTATCTTAATTTTCCTAAACGTTGTTTCAAATGTCTTTTGGGCGTAAGGAATAAAATATTTTATTCTTCGTAGCAATTTTCTGCGCTACAAATTACAAAAAAATATAAACGTATGGAGTGATTGAAGAGCAATATAAATGGAAATTTTAAAAAATTGATAAATTGCACGATTCTCCTTTCGTTCGTTACGCCAAAATGCAAAATCCAGTCTCATGGCTCTACCAAACGCGTTAGGTTTATGCAAGGGCAAGAAATTTCCACGGGTTTACTTTTATGAAAGGTACCAGAGTGAATCCTGGAGAAATAGCTAGAACACCAAAAATCATGGTATAGAAGAGATTCTTTGTCTCCTGTTCCAGCGGGTTTGAATTTTGTATAAATTTGCACATGAACTTTCATGCACAAAGAATTAGTCTGGTGTTCTGGTGTAATATTAAATTTCGATTTTAGTTTTAAAAATATTTCGAACTGCCCTCCCATCATTTTTTTTATTGTAAAGTTACTCTGAGCGACACGGAAGAATCCGCACCCTTTCTAGAAAGAAAGACAAGCAAGCAATGGACAAATTTAAACCCAATAATAATTTCTTAGAAACGTCAGAAAATAAGCGTCAAATAAATTTTTTCAAACCAATAGATATAGAGAACGAGCGCCAAACACAGACGGACGGACAGAAGGTTCAAATGACCAATAGTCCCTTGACCGTTTTCTGCCTATTACTGAAAACCAAATTGGAAAATACGAAACCGTTCGCGAGTTATCACGCACACATACGAACGGACGGACAGAAATCATGAACGAGCTGGGTCACTTAATAAAAGCAAATAAAAGCTATAGGAAGAAATCTGTGAAACCAGGTTGTTCAGATCACGTTTACTGACAGAGACGTAATTCATAATTGACTACTTATGCTTTATACACCATCAACATATTACCGAGCGAGCTTATGATTTTGCACATTCTGTCCGTCCGTCCGCCTGTGTACCTGATATCTCGCAAACAGTTTCGAATTTTTCATTTCTGCTTTCAGTAATAGATAGGTACACAATGGTCAAGGGACTAACTGACTCAGTTTTGATCATTTGGATTTTCTGTCCGTCCGTCTGTGTATTTTATAATTCGAAAGGGATATATGGAAAATTCTTTTTCTAAAAATAATTTTATGATCCTATAATAGCGTACTAAACATTCTTTAGCTCTCACAACCATAAACAGACTCACTGGTCAAAAATATTTTATATAAACAATAAATTAATATAGCAAATGCCTATTCTATAAACTTTAAATAAATGATCAATATGACGCACACAAATAGATAAGTTTATTTATGTCACTCGTATTTCGCAGTCAAGTGTAAGTAATGAAACAACGTACCTTTTTAGTTGTAGCAGTCGCTGATCTCAGGCGGATGAAGCTTTTGTCGCCTCGGTTCGAATGTCCACAGGTCTGCTGTATTAGAAACCAAACTTCGCAGATCTACGTCGATTTACTGCACCCCTCTCACCTCTTCTGGTAGATTTCACGGAGTAGTTTTGGCAACTGGGCTTTCCACAATTTTTATTGGTGAAATTACTCTAAAAAAACAAACTACAGTTGTCCAGTGAAAACAACGCAGGCTGGTGTTAATAATTTGCAGGCGGGTAAAAACAATGCCCATTTATCAATGGGAGGTTTTATGATGCCGACAATTAAACCGGAAAACGTCTTCCTAATTACATTTATTAAAGCCTTTCTATTTATCTGCGAAGGATTTTGGCACTAACCTTCATCTCCTACACTCACTTTCATAATTCACTTAGCCCTTAATTATTGGACCAACCCATTTTTTAAATAAGAAATTCTTGCGCTATTGCATATTAATCGTAATATTTGCACGCGTCTATTGAATTCATTATGCACACGTAAGCAAAGTTTCGCGTTTATAAATACACAATTAATTATCACATAATTAAACCCGAAACTTGACACTAATTGTGTAGGTAATTAATGACCAATCTACAAACGCGCATTAATTACAATACAATTAGTTCCGCGTTTGCAATCACAAAATTAATTATCACGTGATTAATTAATTAATTAAGTTTGTAAACAGGAAATTAATTATGACGTAATTAAATCCGTGTTTGCAAATGGGGAATTATGCCTACACAAGTCATTTGCTTAATTAATTACGCGGTTACAAATGACGTTTAAAAAAACAAACCATAGGTATAACTTCGTTCGAGGGAATTTTCCAATCCCGGAGAGAAATATCCCTGCAGACGGAATTAGTTATATAGTGCCATTTCCAACTCAAAAAGTGACTAGATGCTAAAATATAAGATTATAACATGGGATAATCTTGGGAGGCAATATCAATATCTTAATCTATTACGTAGCTATTTACCTTATAAGATATTATGTTTTGTTAAACTTCACGTACCTAGGTAGAAAAATCCGAGAGATCCGAACCCATGAAACGGGCCATTGAATCCAATTTTGACGAACTTGAGTTTAAAAAAGGAAGTCTCGTCTGGGGCAAATATGGAAAAGCTTGGTGGGCCGCCATAGTGGTAAACACGGATTCATGCGATTTTAGAAGGACTAAATACAACATAATGTGGCTAAACGATTATACGACTTCGGTGGTAAGTTAAAATTCAAAATTGTTTTTTTTTAATTTATGATCTGATTCGCGTATAAATATTTCTAGCTCAAAGTTCAGGATTTACTGCATTTTGCGGAGTACTTTGAAAACGTTATTACAAGATTTAGTAAAAGAATGTCAAAAGGTTGGAGACGTGGAGTAGTGGCGGCACTAGAAGTAGGTACAATATAACTTCATGATTTATTATTATCACGTTTTCATTCAGGAATTGTATAATCACGATCAATCCTTTAAGCCCGAAGAGCTAGAAAATTTGGCGAAATGCGGACTCCAAAATGTTCCTCCCCGTGTACATCGTAAGTACATAACTCCTTTGGGTATTTGTTAACTTAGCATAGTGACCATGCCCATGCACTATTTGGAAGTTTTTATTATTTTTGAGTAGATGTAGAAAAACCCAACAAGATTGAATAAACCTTACTACCACCACCCATTAAAAAGGGATGAACAGTGTTACTTTTTCAATTATATTATTCAGATTACGTAATGATGTCCTTGTTCTTTTCCTGTGAAGGTATTCCCCAATCTGTTCAAACTGCATTGGATAAGAAAGATGAAGATAATTTTGAAGTCTACAAGAATAAGTGTCCGGATAAATATAAAAGTAAGTCTATTCCACAAATCATGCTTTCAGCCTGAATTAATAATAAATTTCCGTTAGGGTTGTTTAGAAACCTTCTGTCAAGAGGCAAAATTTTACAAGGTGAACGTGTGTGTCTAGGGTGTTATGCAGACGATGACGTATGCCAAAATCACCCTATCTTGGAAGGCTTTCTTTGCAGCAACTGTCATGTAAGCATCAATTAATTATTTGATACCTCTAGGTACCTACTCATTGTAGTCATGACGCCATGTTTTAGAAAAGACTGAAGCGCACCCTAAACACAGTAGGCGATGATGGACTTCACGTAAGTATGATATTAATGTCGAGGTTTGTTGTCTTTTAAGTCAATCCGTTAGTTCTTTTGTTCCATTTGTGGATATGGAGGACACACAATTCTCTGCGAAAGTGGATTTTGTGGAAAGTATAAGCACAGAAATTGTGAATAGTGTTGTAATTGACATTTCTAGGGCATATTGCGTTAAATGCGTGGAAGACTTTTGCAAAGAAGGCACTTGGGAATGTTTCGTAAAAGAAGAAAAATGGAGTTGCTTTTTGTGCAGTGGCAAACCAAAAATAGGTGTATTGCGAATTAAAGCAGATTACAATCTTGAGGTAAACTTTCTTTTCTAGTATTTCTAAATAACGCTATTAAACTTCAGGTTGACAAAATGTTGTATAGTGACGCAACGCAGAGTCCTTTCATAAAAACTCCCTCCAGGCCTTATCCAAAAGGAACCAAGCTTCGAGTCCTATCACTATTTGACGGTATTTCTACAGGTAACTAGCAAAATTAATTATTACGCAAATTTCATATAAACAATTACAGGTCTATTTACACTGAGTAAATTAAACATTCCAATTGACGCTTATTATGCCTCAGAAATAGATCTAACTTGTATAAGTGTTAGCAAATTTCATTTCAAGGAGCAGGTGAAGCATATTGGCGATGTGACCGTTATTAGAGAAGAAGATATTAAACGTATGTCCCCTATTCATTTAGTGATTGGTGGATCTCCATGTACGGACCTGAGCTTGGTGAACCCAGCGCGTAAAGGTCTCTTTGGTAAGTTTTTTAAGCTTATGTGTTTAGTTTGGAAGCAAATAATGCAACTTTTTTATTACCAGTTTTACGGGATTTTACTTTTTTTACACCATACAACATATTATTTGTAGTTTAATAAATGAAAATTGTTTTTCTAGATCCTACTGGAACGGGGTACCTTTTTTTTGAGTTTTATAGAGTATTGTCTATGGTTCTGAAACAAAACCAAAACGGATTTTACTGGCTATATGAAAATGTTGCGTCTATGGAGCTCGATTCTAAAGAAGTGATCACCAGGTAATTTTCTTCCAGAGTTTACCTAGGTATCTATCAGAGCTGGGCAGTATTCGATTTTGTAAATACTTTTTAGTATTCAAATCCTTTAAAGGATTCAAATACTTTGTAATTAAACACTTTTATGGAAGCAGTATTTGTTTTTGTAACTCAAATACTTTCACAAATATTTAGTATTCGAATACTTTGTAAGGTATTTGAATACTTTGAGAAGTATTCGAATACTTCGCAAAATATTTGAACCTTTCTTTTTTTTACCAAAAATCGACTGCACCAAAATTTCTCGGGAAAACACTTTTTCTTATTAATTTTGGTGCGTAGAATCCAAAACAATTCGTACTTTTTCGATCAGATTTTCAATCAAAAGTTATAGACTAGAAACCAATTTCGAAAGAAAATTCAAAGGGCTGTAACTTTTGAACTAGTAGCCCAATCTTGGAACTGTTTGAAATTATGGATTCTACAGGCCACATTCTATAAGAAAATTTTTTTCCGGGTCGATCTGAGACAATTTTTTTTTCGGGCCTCAAAAAAAGGCAGTGTATAACCTTCCTTTTTTACCAAAAATCGACTACACCAAAATTTCTCGGGAAAACACTTTTTCTTATTAATTTTGGTGCGTAGAATCCAAAACAATTCGTACGTTTTCGATTAGACCTCTCAATAAATAGTTATGGACAAAAAACAAATTTCGAAAAAAAATTCAAAGGGCTGTAACTTTTGATCTAGTAGCCCAATCTTCAAACTGTTTGAAATTATGGATTCTACGGGCCAAATTCTATAGGAAAATGTTTTTTCCCGGTCGATCTCAGACAATTTTTTTTTCCGGCCTCAAAAAAAGGCAGTACTTTTAAGTTATTCAAATATTTGAGAACAATTTAGAAATGTTTAGGGAAAGTTTCCATTGTCACAAAATCAAATATAAAAATCTGATACATCTGAATACCGAACTCGATAGTCTACGTAGCGTAACAATAGGGACCTTTCTTATATCCTAAGACGATATGTACCACTTTTCAAAGCGATTGCACGTTTCTAAACATGTTATCATGCACACGCGGACAAACGGATGGTCAAAAATGGATCTGTTCCAAAATCGCCAAGATTAATTTCAGAAAGGCGTACGGCCCGTACGCGAGGGCGTACATATATCATGTGCACGACGTACGATCGCTTTGAAAACTGGTACACGTGTTCTTAAGGATATAACTGGTATAAGAAAGGTCCTGGTAGGTACCTCCTATATAATAATATAATAATAATAATACGCTTTTACTCCCCTTAAATTTGTATATAACAATAGAAATATAAAAAAAGCTAACCCCATACAAAGTATAACTTGATTTTTTAAGTAGTATTAAGCCTTTTATCTATAGTATACTATTTTAAATTTTTAATGTATTTGAGTGACAAGTATTTGAATACTTTTTACTGTATTCGAATACTTTTCAAAGTAAGATAATGAAATACTTTTTAAAGTATTCGAATACATTCTAAAATATTAATACTTATTTTTTTAAGTATTTGAATACTTTTCAATGTATCTGTATCTAGTATTCGCTTGTGCTGGACGTAAAAGTATTTAGTATTCAAATACCTTTGATTTCTGTAAAGTATTTACTATTTAGTATTCAAATACTTTTTGCAAGTATTCTGCCCAGCTCTGGCATCTATGTTGTAAATTTTTACAATAGATATTTACAAACGCAACCGGTATTGAAAGACGCAGCCTTCGTTTCGGCTCAACACAGACCAAGACTATTTTGGGGGAATTTACCTCTTTTACGCCAACAGATGCCAGTGATAGAAAGCAACCTTCAAGATTTTTTATGGCCTTATCGTACTGCAAAAGTCCAGAAATTGGCTACAGTTACCACTAAAAGCAATTCATTACGACAAGGTTCGTTTAAATCGTAAAGACCCACGTGATCAATAAGAAATTTGAAATCAGAATATCAAATTTTCCAAACTTTTAAGTAATATAGTCACATGGGTTTTATTTGCAAGATGATGTCAATCTACTAAAGTTATGATTTGTATGTGTAGGAAAGGATTTCCTATATCCAGTTATAAATGAACACAACAAACCCGACGTTATCTACATCACAGAGCTCGAAAAGGTATTTGGATTCACACCGCACTACACCGATGTCTGCAATATGTCAGCTGGCCAAAGACAAAAGCTTTTGGGATCTGCATGGAGCGTACCCGTAATGATGCAGTTGTTCAAACCCTTACAACAAATTTGTAAAGCCTAATTTAATTAATCATGTACATATTAATCTGGTACTTTTTTGATTCCTCACTTCTTTTAATAAAATATGTTCAAATTTTCTCCTGCAACAGGAGTGACAAAATTTTTTACGATATTTTTTACAATAAAAGTTGTCACCTTTTATTTATAACGCTCTAATTAACCGTTCAACTTCCTACAAAACCTGTTATTTGGGTATAGAGGCGTAATTCCAAAATGCCAATGTGTTTAAATGTAGAATGGTGAACAGAAAGAGTTTCTAATTATTCAAAAGAATCTTCACCTTTCCAAATGTTGCCTGGTATCCTTGAGGAACTTTTCTTAGCATTTAAAAATGACCTGAAATGTCAGACTTTATAGAATTCTCTATGGTGATAATATTAAGTTCAGAAGCGGACTTAATATGTTTCTTAATTATGGCACTGATTAAAGCTATATCTGTATATGTAAACGGTTTGTACTTTTTGTCTATCCCACGTGTGGCCCGTGGGTAGTAAGATATGACAACATATATAACATCCCAAAAAGTCTAACTTCTCGTTTTCACCATGTACCTATCTTAGAAACCAACGTAGCTAGATTGATTATATTTAATGTTTGTATATTGTGGCGCGAGGTCCCGAAAACCGCAAGTCTCTATCTTTAAAACCAGCTGACATACACTGCAGTCTCAACCAACATAGGACACACTGTACAATTATTTTTGGAAAACATAAGAAATTATTTAAAATCAGCATAGGTATTTATATTTTTTCTCGTTGTAACAGAGTTTTCAACGTTAGTTACTTACCTACCATTTTTTAGCAAATATTGTTGATTTTGTCGTTGAGTGCTATTTTTCACTCAACGATTTCGTCCATTAATTACCATAGAAACAGGTAATTTACAGAAGGTGTCATTATAGAAAAGCGCCGTAAAAAGAAACAGGTATTTGTGCATCTTCATTCAAATAGTGATTACAGCTTTTGGATAAACTTGTTCAGATAATTACTCCTTGATCAAAACTGGAAAGTTGTTGGCGGTCTAACCATTTGCAATAAATTGAAATCAAATGCAAATTGCTATTGCCAAAGATAATACTATAGTAGTATGTATTATATGGCTATCATACGCGGTTATCCATATACTTCTCTTATATATATGGTATATCTTTACTATTGCAATTTTTAAATGAATAAACAAAGTTATTGCTGAAAAGAGCGGTTGAACAGGTTGCACGACCAGCGCGTCCTCTCTTGGAGTAAGCGTTAGATACCTACTACATTCTATAATCTATTTACAGTCTGTCCCCACTAAAGGTCTCTATATTTCACCTTTGGTACCCTACGTCAACGATTTAAATCGTACGTGTCTATTCTCTTACGTTACTCTCTTTCTCTATACAAATCCTGTAACCTGAAAAGTTATTCCACAACATATGTAAGTGCATTATTTTGCTGTTTTTACGTTGAATAATTTTTGTCAGTCTTTTCTGTACTTTTTTTAAAAATTTTTTGCCTTTTTAAAATTTATAATTAGGCAACAGATGTTAATTCTCAACAGTGGTACTTAGAGAAGTTCTTTTTTTCAGTGACCATGGGTGGATATTTAATAATTCTTGTTGTACAGTGTGTTCTGATAAGTGTTTGTAATTCTCAACAACGTGTAGCACCTGGTGTTCCTCCACAACAGTACCAGGTAAGGATGCAAACTTTGTTACAAAACTCCTTCATACCTAAATCAAATATTCAGCAACCGCAGTACCAACCACCTCAGTATCAACAAGCTCAACCACAGTACCAACAACAGCAACAGTTTCAGCAAGTACCTGCCCAGCAACAGCAAGTGCCTGTCCAACAACAAGTACCTGTGCAGCAAGTGCCCGTACAACAGGTTGGTATCAGTGTTTGGATTGTATTGTATTTTAACCACATTGTAGCAAGTTCACCAGGCTCAACCTCACGGACACCATTCTCAACATGCTCCACCTCACCCAGATCAAGTTCTCAATACTGCCAATATAGCCCAGGAGAAAGAGTAAGTCTACACCCGCAAATTGTTGATGATAATAACCTCTCATCGTTCATTTAGACACATTGCGGAACATTTCGATGTACCTATTGACACGAGTAAAATGACAGAGCAAGAATTACAATTCCATTACTTTAAAATGCACGACGCTGATAATAATAATAAATTGGACGGGTGCGAACTCGTGAAATCCCTCTTACATTGGCACGGTATGTATTGTAGCTAACACCCAGAAGTGAGTTAGGTTGACCTACCTAATTCACTTTACGCTTACAAAACTTCTATGTACTAATTTTTAATTTAAAAAATGCCTTGTTGATTATCACAACAGGTGTGGTCGACAAAGTGCGATTAGCAGTGTAATTGTGAATTTTCGAATAGAAATTGAAATGAAAATGTGAAGGTCCGCCATCATAAAACCAACCAAAGATAAAAAAATATTTAGAAAAATATGTCAAATTATAGTACCTCGCTTCAGTCATCAAGGTACACTAATTGTTTATGATTTCAAGATGCGTCGACTCTGTATTTTGGAGCGAGAACTATTTTATTTCTCTACTATTTCGTAACCCGAGATACTTACATTAATGACTCATCAATGCTTGATATTGAAGTTACACAAGATGCTTTTGCTTGCAATTTGTCCTACACATATTATTTTAAAAGAATATTGTCCCTACCAATTAAAATTTGTTTCAAATAAAAATTATTTTAACTTTAAAAATTCGATCAGAAATTTTCTTCAAGCAGTTTCAAACTTGGATCTTACCCATTTTTTATAGCCCAGCCAGAAAACAATTTTTTAAATTCATAAATTGGCTAACGGTTTTTATTAAGAATTTTGTCGCACATACCAGTAGTAGGTTGTATGATTTTTTTGTGCATATGATATCAACTAACGATGTGACGTTTTATGTAGTATCCGAAAAATATTTGTTGATTATTTATTTTAAATGTTTGTGGGACTGCTGTGCGTGCTTATGTTTGTGCAAATTGTGCTTTAGATCAAGGCAGCAAGAGTGGCCAAAACCACATTGAAGAAAAAATATTTCAGGATGAGGAGTTGGTAACGTTAATAGACCCAATACTCAACATGGACGATGGAAATCGTGACGGCTACATCGATTATCCCGAATTTGTGCGAGCTCAACAAAAAGCCGCCGCCGCTCCAATTTAATGTATGTCTGACTTATTGCTTTTCATGCTTTTATGTTCCATGTCACTCCTTTTCATTTTAATTTATTACTCTTCATTATTCACAGCTTATGTGTATTTTGTAGATGCAGAGGGCGGTGTAACAAAAGAAACCACCCAGAAAATATACACAGATGAAGAATTAAGTACATCAATTGAAGCTGTCCTTAATCTTATGGATGCTAATAATGATGGTTATATAGATTATACAGAATTCAAAAATCCAAAACTTACAACGTAATAAACATTGTACAATACTTATATATTATCTCACATGATGTATATAGGTATTACTTTAGTTGCCAAATGAAGTACCTCTGCTTTTAATGTTTACTAGTTTCGATTAGTTATGTAATTTTAAATGTTGCAAGAATCATTTTTGCAGATTACACAGTTACTTCCCATTCTGAAGGTGCCTTTTCTCAACTTGACGATTTTATCATTTACACCTATTGTCTTCAAAAGCCAAGATCTACGAGTTGATAAATGGCATTTGCGAGTTGGCGAAGAGTATAGACCATCATACCCATATTTTTGTTTTTGCAAAATGTGATACTTCTAAGACTTGTTAAATAGGAAAATATTATATTTGTTATGATTTTTATTGTAATCTGCTCTAGCATAATTTTTTAAGATAATTGTTTCTTTCATTCCCATCTCTTTGATCTGGGTAAACTACTATTGTACGACTACCTATAATTGTAAGGGCGTCCAAAAACGAGACTGGTAGCTGTAAGTGTTGATTATCCAAATTAAATGTTGTAAATCTTTGATATGAATTTTTAAAAAATAAAATGTCGCTATTCTTCTGTGTGGTAAAGATATATTTACAAAATAACCAGACGTTGTCAAACTGAATTCCTGCTTTTATTTTTTTGCAACCATACAGTACACATTTATTCGACATACTTCTTTTATGCATATACCAACATGTGGGGTCGATTTAATTTAAAACATCGCAAATTATCGTTTAAAATTTGAGCAGAGTAATATAGAAAATGATAATTAAAAAGCGGGGAAATAGAAAGAATAGTTCTTTTTGGAACAGTGGTAGTAATCATTTTTTGCAAGTTCTAAAGTTGAATACACATTTTTTGCATAGCTATTCTAGATAGTGTGGATAAATGACTTAGCAAACTATCAGTCCATTCGGTCACCTCATATATTCATAGAGTGGGAATAGTGCATTTTGGGAAGTCTCGAAAACTTGGGAAGAAAGTTGAAACAATACTATTAATTTGCTAACGATGCGCAAGGTTTTGCATCGCTAACAGACGAAATCATGCTCTCCCGCAGCAAGGCGGAAGGCAGACATAAATTCGTCACTACAAACAAATAACAGAAAATATGAAACTACACTACAAGTTATAAATGCCCAAAGAAACCTTTTTATTAAAATCGTATTAAACACTATCATTATTATTTATTATTATCTTTTTAAACAATATTATTGTTTATTATTTAAAGGCGGTTTGCCATTTTATTTCGTATTAAAGTATAGAAATTTGCATATTAATGAAAAATTCGAAGTTTATTAAATATGATATTAAAAATGGTACATCATATAAAACGGTGACGATATCCGCGTGGCTTAGAACAAACACGTCATATTATAAAAATGAGACCTAGGAAGACTGCCTGTATTCCTTAAAACAATCTGCGAACAATATTATGAAAAAATAGAACTAGCCTCGTGCATATCGTCTAGAAATCATTGGACGTCATTGTCACAGAGCTAAGAAAAGCAAGGTACAATGCCAGGCTTATCCTAGTAAATAGATAACAACGGGCTTTGTGACAATGCAGTCCGAGACGACGTACTAAAACACGCGCTTTGCGCAACATACCCGATTTCGATTTATTCATATATACTATTTAAATCTATAACTGATAATTAAAGATCATTAATTAACTTTGCGAAGTTCATCACAATTAATTTAATGTATAGGTGGACACTTTATTTGTATCAATGGGCGAACAAAAGGCAGACACGTGTGTACCCCGAAACAAACTAAATTATACTCTATTTAAATAAACGACTACGTCTACAGTATCTATGGGTTAGTGTGGATAGCGGTATGATATACGCATCAATGGCTATTCGTACAGCAGAAAAGCAACTACTTGCACATAAGTGCCTGCCTTTTAGTTGTTGCAATAGCTCATCGTCAGTGTTCCATGGGGAAGGCACATAGAAACTGTGCCAACACTGTCGCATATGTATCACAGTAAATGTTTATCGTCTAACTAGCGATTATACGAGATGCTTCTAAGAGAATTGAAAAACTGCTTGATTGTAGTGTCCCTATTGGACAATTATGTGTGGTGCCGATAGTAACACTGCCACAGTTGCGATGATTGTAAACATTGTGAAAATAATGAGGCAAAAACGATCAACCACCATCGCCGCAAACTTCCAATCGCTGATTACTTCTGCTTCTTCGTCCGCCTTCCGCATCCTCGCCGTGATGAACTGCAACTCGCGTAGGATCAACTGCAAATCCCTTTGCGTTCCCGATGTTGGAATTGACGCTTCTTCAATGGTCGTCGGATGTCTCATAAAACCGGCACCCAAACTAGTTGTCACAGAGGCGCTGTTACCACCACCCGAAACATTTCGAAAATCGTCATCTATGTCCAATACGTTCGCCAATAAACTTTTCGACGATCTCTCTTTCAGTTCCAACTCCTTCATTCGACTGTTCATAAGAATCGTTTTGCGTGTAATTTTTTTACCAGGTCGGCTCATACCGAGGATCCATGGCAACCATTGTAAGAACACAGATTTAATCTGAAAAAGATAGCACTTTAATTCAGGATTGTACGTGTACAGATTTAAAGGAGGAAAATTACTGGGCAAAACCCATCAACAACGTCTTGAGTTAAACCCTTGGTTAGTCGTCAGATGAGAGGGGGAGGAGGTGGCCAATAGTGCTGTACCCCATTATTATACAACAATAAAATTTGGGCTCAGGGGGTGAATTTTTTGCACTTTTTACATTTATAACATCAAAGCAACGATTAAAAGTTGTAGAATAGATACTGACTTTCATTGGCCAAACTGATTTTGTTATCCGAAAGATACTGAGATTATACGATTTTGAACAATTTCCCTCTAACGATTTTTTTTTCGGGCATGGAGCAAGGTACAAAACCCCTTGCGGCTAGACCACAGTGAAAGCGATCTATGCATACAATATATTGTGATATTATAAATTTGTATGGACGGATTAAATATCACTAATTTACATGAATGATAAGGAGGCACCACACGTCTTGTCCCATAACCGTACAACCCGCTAAAAATGGAACGGAAGATTACTTAAAACATAGTAGGAACGTATGGCCTCATGTGTCCGTCACTACCCCTATATGGAAAATAGTTTAAAAAACTTTACGTAATCGTTGTGAAACATTAGGAAAATAATTTTTGGGAAAAATCTGCTATTTTATAATTGGGGTCTATATTATAAATAAAATGCACCTTGACTATCTGATCATTTTCATATAGTACAAGATCCCACATAAGGTGAACCTTCGCTCATCCGTTAACACATTTTTTAGCAATCTTAATATGCAAACAAACACATTGAAAATGGGTTGCCTAAAAAATTAAGTTAAGAGTACCATTAATTAAAATTAATGTAATTCGTATTTCTGTCCGCTTCTATCACATGCGCACTCCATTACATTCGATGCCTACACCAAGAGCAGCTGTTACGCTGCGTCCTTCTCTTTCACACGGAACACTACACGTGTTTCTCTCTCGCGCGCTATTCAAAATTGTGACAACCCGCAACCGTACTATTGGAGACCGAAGAGTCTATGGAATTTTAAATATTGGGTCTCTACAGACACGCAGTTATTTTGAATTAAATGATGACGCAACGGATATGTCAAAATTAAGAACATTCTATTCATAATATAATCAATCCACTACACACAAAAACTACATCATGTTTTGAACTTCTGGTCCAATGAAAACACAATAAAAGGTTACACTGATTTCCGAAAAAAGGTTTGGTCTTTAAAATATGGTAAGGCCACTCAAAACCACACCAAGACCTTAGGGCAACTAACGTGATTGGAATCCTATGTTACGAAAAAATTAACGTACAACTGCGAAGGACTTTTGCGTTATAACAGACCGATAGGCCTATTTTAATACCAGCGAGCCGAAGGGTAGTACGGCCCAAACCTTGGCAGAGTAAATGTCTGACGGGGTAAGTCAGACCTCTACTCTGCCTAGGTTTGTGCCGAACTCGCCTTCGGGTAGCTTGGCACTGTTTTTAAATCAATCACTTTTGCGTGGAAGTTTATAACATATTGACTTATTTTAATGCTGAGTGAGCCAACAGTTGTACGGCACAAATCAGGGCAGAGTAAATGTCTGATGAGGTAAGTCTGACCTCTACTGCTTAGGTTTGTGCCACTGGATTCAAAACTATCACTTTTGTATTTTTTTTCTGTTGGATTGGGATTAAAATGGGTCTGTTATTACACTACTATGTACAACTGATACTTTTAAAACCAGTGCCGGGAGCGAGCCGAGGGGGAGTTCGGCACAAACATAGGCAGCGTAAATGTCTGATGGGGTAAATCAGAAGTCTACTCTGCCTAGGTTTGTGCCTATTGCCTGTCGGTGCCTGTTTAAAACTTTTAAAATCAGTGCCGAGCGAGTCAAAGGTGAGTTCGGCACACAGCCACACATCTAGACATAGTAGAGAGGTCTGATGGAGTAAGTCAGACCTCTACTCTGCCTACTTGATTTAAATGGTTAATTTTTTGTTATTTGCGACATTTCCAACTAACTACTTGTGAAATTAGGTGACTCACTAGGAGGCGGGGATACGTTCTACCCGAAGGACCAATTTTCGAATTTTTAAAAACTAATTTCAGATTAGCGATTTTCATATCAAAACCCCCATTTAGGGGTGCGCCCTCTCGTGATAGGAATTTGAAATTTTTTTTGTAAAATCGGAAAGAGCGTACCCCAAATTTACTCAAAGACGTGCCACCAGCCTTTGTATCTCTTACGGTTGCTGAAAAAAAATTCAAGAAGAAATACAAACTTCACCACGTTTTTTAGGATGACTCCCAAACAAAACACGTTGGATCCTCGGTTTATTTAGAAAAAGGCTTGTATGATCCTCTCTTACAACCCAATTTTTTTTACATACTTGTATGTAACGCACTGTATAATCATTAGTGCAAGCAAAGACTATCCTCCTACTAGCCTTTGGTGCAAGTGAAATATACAGAAATAGTAGGTAATATAGAATACTATAGGTATATGGAGGGATACATTTTTGAAATTTGCTCAAATGAATTGATTCACATATTCACGTACCTTACCCATAGATATCATGGTTTTTGACTCAATTTTCAATCATACACAATTCTTCCCTTTTGAATTTAATAGCACGAAATTTAAATTGAGAAATCGATCCAGTAATCGAAGTGGTAACTTCCAAGGGCATTTTGATTGGGGCGACTACTATAACTTTGCCATACTCCAGCGTTCCACCCCACTTCGGTCACTGGACCCCTCTAAATGTATAAGCATATTATAAACGTAACATACCCACTGAGGCATTTCGTGTATATCAGCTGTTCGATGATGATAGTTGAGCACTACTACAGTAAGTACAACAGATGAAGCAACCATAAACATAATACAGTTGAAGTAGGTTCCTGTAATTGTCAGAAGTTATATTCCAGTTTTGGCACAACATAACACATGTCTAAATCAACTACTACTACTACATTCGCTACTTCTACGGCTACTTCTACAATACAATACAATAAAAAAAGAAAAGGAAATAAAGAGAACCAAAGATGTATAACGAAAAAGATAATGAACAGTCGTAACGCCAAGCACAAACACACCATCTTTGGATTCGCTACATTACAAACACTCCAATGCTATTAATTTAAATATAAAAAAAGCTACACACAAAAACATGTCTAATTTAGTGATATATACTATATAATGTACTACGTTCGTACCCTCCTCAAAATATGGGATACCTGAAGGTAAGCTATATATGTACTATATGAGGTGAAACATATATAGCATCGGCCGAGGTGGGTGCGGCAGAGTCGGGGGCGAATGATAAGTGAGCATTTGATGAAAGCCCACGACGCTGCCGCTCTATTTTATTTCATAGTCTTCGATTAGGCGTATTTATGTTTTAAATTTCCGCTTTTATTTAAGTTAGGTTTCAGACGGGATAAAAGCTATAGAACAGATCAGAAGGACAAGCAAAGCAAACAGCTTATCAACTTTCTCATTAAAACTTATTTAGTTTAGATGCTGGTTTATGTCTGGCTTAAGACTGTGATTACCTGTGTGGTTGCCGTGGGGAACGTCTTGTCATCGCCATTGCCAAGTACCGACACTGCGATGGCCCGACTTGCGGTCGCCACGGCTGCCACTCTATGCACCACAAAACCATCAGTTTAACACACAGTTTATACCATTAGAAATTTTCTATATTTATTAGTAGTACATATTTAATAGTTTTTTAAGGCATATTAATTTTAGTGTTTTTTTGTAATAAAACATTGCTATAGACTTTTACGAGGAGGTAACGAGTCATCACAGAAATAAAGAATATAAGAATCATAATATAAAATACAAACAGTAATAGGAAATGAAACATGTCAACAACAAAACATACAGATTAAGATACTCCTAGTGGGACAGAGCCATTTGATACTTGGAGGTGAGAAGGTCATTGGCATACAAGAGTGATCGGCAGACAAGTGGCTAGAGTCTGTGTACGGCCGCACTCGCCGTGTATAGACAGTGAGCACTGAGCAGTAAAAGACTAGCTATGGCCCGTCCTGCAACAGGGCATCCAGAAGTGGCAAGCGGAGCGGAGAGTAGGAGCGGGACGGCTTCGGAACATGATGGGCACATGTTCACAGCGGTTATATGAGTTTCAGCTAATTTAAATATTACTTTACTCTTATTTAGTATAGCCTCGGTCGCAGTATGTACTCATTCACCCAACAAAGTTAAGAAGCACACTATTTTTATAGTCGTGTGGCTACGGGTGACGAAGTGCTGTTACAGTTGACGCTTCGCATGCAGCGGCGCGCCAAGGGCAGAGGTGTCCCTAATAACATTCGTCGCGCCGCAACATCGCGGCATGCATGTGTTTTTTGGCAAACAAAAATAAGAAAAGTACTTTATTCCGTAATCTAACCTATGAGAGGCACAGCGTCGGAGGTCTGGGTTATCACGTGCGCCACCAGCAGGGAGAAAACAGTCTGTGACAGGAGGATTGTCACACCTGCAACAGATAGTGGTGCATCACCCGGTGCGTCTGACCTGTGACCTGTGCCACGACGTTACGTTGCGTTAATTAGCTGCCATCCCTTCTTTCCAAGTATCCGGCTCGTCCCGGAACGACTCAAAGAGGAAATGTTTGCGGCACCTCGTCACGTTGCGGGACACGCACCTGACCTGAAACAGCACTCCGCACCGCGCCAAAACCGACTGCCCTAAAACATTTCTTCTTTGATCGCATCAAAATAAAACAAAATTACTAGTGAAGAAAGCTGTTCGCGTTTAAAACAGTCGCGCGCGAACACAACAATTACATATACACAGTGATACACATAATTCATCAGGCAGCACTGAACTGAGGATGTAGTTAGCACAGGCAGGTCAGACAATGAACGGTTGATACCTAACAGAGGAATGGCATCAGATACTTGGGGCAAGGTTTCCGCCACGAGGTTCAGGAACACAGTCAACGAGAGCAAGATGGTCACTCCTGTAACAGAACACAGCTTGAATACGGCTAATGCTTTCCATCCCCACTAAAAGCATTTGAGATAGGTGAAATTTTTCGAATGGAATTGTATGTACAACAAAGACCCCTGCGACGGTACTCTAGTATTTACTTACCACACTCGCTTGGGGTATATATACCTGTATAGGAGAGACATTAGGAATTAGGTATGGGTGGACATGCAGCTGCAGCGCCCTCCAAGTATCAACGGGCAGTAGTCCAGCAAGGGACACAGGGCGTCAAACACATGATGCTCCCAGGAGGCCTAGCATACCTATCAAGGGAACTGCGTCAGACGTAGTTGGAATCTTTTCAGCTACTAGGTTGAGAAATACAGTCAATGAAAGAAGAATGGTGACACCTGAAATGAAGATTTTGAATTTTGAACGTGTTGTGTCCGCATGGTATGTCAGGCGCGCTGGAACCGCCGCTCGATGTAGATGTGTCGCAAGTGTACAATAATGTTTTGTAACTGATTGTTAATGATAATAATAATAATATATATGTAGGTATACTACCCGCGTGGCGTGTACATCATGACACTGCGCAATGCGAGTGAATTATAGCATAGCCATTGTTTTAAGCGGCACCCACAAAACACAGGAGTGCAAATAAACAGTGCAACATACGAGCATGTACCTAGTGTGAGCTTCTCGCCTGAATCTGGTGGTAGTGTAAAACCCAATAGCGCCATGGAAGAAATGAGCACGCAAGGAACTATTAAATTGAAAAAGTAGTAAAGCGTGCGCCGTCGAATTTGAATTGTAAAAGTTACATCCACATACGGCTCAGGACAACACTGATATACTATGGTGTTCTTCTTGCCGGGCATACCTATAATTACCGCACGTAACCATTGTGAGATAAACGTTTCGATCTTACCTATAAGGTACCATTCACCATTCGTGATGAAATCAGACAAATCTCCTCCATCTTCTGAATTCAAGATAAGATCCAGCTACGCAAAACTCATACATGTAATAAAACCTACTATCTACTTTGGTCGTAATAATAAAGCGCGTGCATCTGGCTAATACGATTATAACTCATTATTTCCATTGCTCTTCGGAAACATAAGTTAGGGCTACATATATAAAAGAGAAAAGTTCATGCACGAAGAAAATTGAAAACAGCACGCAATTTGTTTAAATGGCACTGTACCGTACGCTACTTAACATTTTTTACTTGGACCAAACTTGGTTGTTTCTACAATATAAATGGTAGGTAGGTATACTGATTATTACTCATATTCACAAACCTTTCACTAACACACAACGACAAGATCCCTAAGGAATGAAAACGCGTAAAGAATGGCCTGCTCGTCAAAGCTTGTAAGTATTGATGGTTACGCCGAACTCAAAAGTTAACGTTTTCAAAATGTTTGGTGGGTATGTGATTAGTACATTAAACTTTTCCAGTTTTCCCCCAAACCGGAAGATTTATTAAATTACTAAGCGGAACCTTTTCAGTATGTGCGGACACCTGCCAGAAGGACGCTCAAAAAAGTTCCACGACCTCCCCAGTGGGATAGGTATCCTATAAAAAGTGGAATTTCAAGAAAATCTCTGGAGCGGGTCTAAAATCGTTCCACCTTGAACGGGTTCTCACCTTGTCGTGGAGCGGGGGGGGGGGGGGGGGGCTGAGTAACCGTGCACTTTGCTGAGGCTTTCATTTCGTTGGAAAATTGTCTATTGTGAGATTATGTAATGTGCGATGGTGGGAATACGTGAGGACCATGGGGCATTAAGAAAATCATAAAATGCAGTGAGATTCGTAAAGATGGAGCTGGTGAACCCTTTAAACGGAAAAGTTCGGTGGAGCTACATGTTCAGTACCGTACGGTTTACACTAAGCTTCCAAAGACCCTTACTTGCACCTGAACAAGTGCAGAATCCAACCTGTTCATCGATCACGGAAAAGTATAGAAAGTCGTCTAGTATTTAAAAATGGCGTCCTGCCGTTTCTCTAACCCTTCTGACTTTTCCCTAGGAAAATTCCAGGTTTTTGACACTGGAATGCACTGGAGAGTAAATCTAAAATCTCAGATGGTTTGTGACCGAATGAAAATTGCGTTATTATAACGATTTACTTGCAGTTCCACTTTTTCCAGGATATCCAAACTATCCCACTAAGGAGATCGTGGAACTTTTTTGAGCGTCATCCTGGAAGATGTCCGAACATATTCTAATTTAAATGTCTGGGTCAAAACCTCATTTTACTATAGCAGATTAGCAATTAACATGCGGTATTATCTAATGTTAATGCGCTATCCGGTTTCCCGAAAATGATCGCATGCGCGTAAATTGTTTCAGTATCCAGCAAATAAGATGCAAAGTCCTTGACACGCTATTAGAGATTAAGAAATGCTTCTAGCATCCATTCCTAGGCATAAATTGGAGTGTTTGTGCGAAATACTGTCTTTCCGGGAAATATGACGTGTTTTGTTCTAGAACAGACTCGCGAGCATTCGAGAACACTTGAGTTTACTGCATAAACAAATCAAATAGCGTTTCAGGACAGTTCCAATTTCAACGTCAAAGTAATAAATAGTTCGCGCTGTTATAAATTGTGTATATGTGAGTGATAAATAATATTTTACTGTTATAAATTTATGGTTAGTTAATTGTAAATAAAATAAATCACGTACCTAATTAAATTTACGTGACACTGGTGTCAGGTGTGAGGTTGTGTTTTAAGTGGATAATTTCTACGTCGCGAAAAATGGAGCAACTTCTGAAATTAATGCAAGAAATAAAAGCCGGTCAACAAACAATGGAAGCTGGCCAATCTGAAATGAAAGCCGGTCAGCAGGTCATGGAATCTAAAATAGAAACCAGTCAACAAGAATAAAAGTGCGAGACAAATTGTGTCACTGTTAGAAGCTCGTTATGGAGATAAACATTTGCAGCAGGTATTAAAGATCTTTGCAAGAACTTGAAGCCGATATAGCCCGGTTGATAAGGATGGCGGATCCTACGGGTCCAGAAAGCCTTAAACGCAGTAAGCTTTAAAACTAGCGCGACATGAGAAATTGAAAAAGGCTTTGGCGCATGCTCTGGAGTTTAATGCGGCAAATAAAACGTCTCGTGGTAATTAATGCTTGCGTGACAGATGTAGAAGATGAAAATCTAGAAGAAATAGTGAAAAGAGTAATGAAGCAGCATTAGATAAAAGGACGAGGGCTGCGATGTGGGGGCCGTGGTCTAAACCTGGACAGAAAATGAAATTGTCCCCACAGTACAGTGATCAATAGCCAGGGCGAGTCAAAGAGAAGGAGCGTGCCAGTTTCCCCGGAGACTGCCTCAAGAAATCTGAACTACTACGTCTAGGGGTAACGAAAACCCTGATTAAGATGCTGATTGATTTTAGTAGGGAATTGCAAACAAGATGTGAAGGAATGATGCAAAAAATGTGCTCCAAGCAACGGACCAGTAGAAAAGAAGAAAGCACTCATGAGGAAATACAATATGGTTAGTCCAAATGAAAGAGTAGCTATTGATATCCCAGAGACAGCTGCTGGACATAAATACATCATGATGACCATGGACTATTTCAAGAAATTGACAGAAGCATATGCTCTACCAAATCAAAAAGCGACAACTGTGGCAGATGTTCTGGTAAAAAACCGTTTAGCATAGTTGGAGTGCCCCTAACCGGGGACAAAATTTTGAGTTTGACCGGGAATTCCGGTTGCTTGTGATTTAAAGTTTGGTACAAGACCCGGCCAAGAAGAAAATGTGTGTACGTCGAAAACCTGCCTAAAAATCCAGAAGGAACATCCAGAAGCGGAGAACGAGTAGCAAGTTAGACCACAACTTTCGTGGAATTTATGGGACATTACTCTGGAACTTCAATGACCCAAGGTGACTAAAGTGTGTTTCCTACAGGAAAGAATAAGAATAAGAAAAGATCAGTCTTGTGATAAACCTAGTTACGCAGATTTTTGGAACGCCCCCAGTACTTAAAACGGCAAGTACAAATCCATTACAATTCCGAAGGTCCTGATAAGCTAGGCTGGCGCATTGTGCGCAGTATGCTGGAGGTCGTATTCCAGCCAGGGAACCAGGGTGGAAATATTAGCCTGTTGTTTTAACCGCAGAGAAGCCCCTCAATGGGATTCGTAAGACGGTGGATTGCTTTTTTTTTTCAAGAATGGAAAATGCAAGAGGGGGTCGTGATTCCAGAAATCCCTATATAGACATCTAAGCGCCATGACAGATTAGTCATCGGCGCGCGACTATAAGGAATGCGGAGGCGGCGCATACCTTCTTTAAATATAATCCACGTTCTAGACCTTTTCAAATGTTTCGCAAACCTTCGAGAAACGTTCCATTTTATTATATAAGCAAATTGAAGCGTGTTTGAGAGGAGTTCCAATTTCAACGCCGAAGTAATAAACAGCTGGCGGTGTCATAGATTGTGTATATGTGAGTGATAAATAATATTTTATTCATAAATAAAATAAATAAGTAAATCACGTAAACACTACCGAAAAGCTCTTTTAGTGAAGTGTTTAAAAGTAAATTGCGCAGATCTTGATGCAAACTTAAAAAGCGGTTATCAAATAATATTTGTTTAAGTAATAAGAGAGTCTGTCAGGTTTTTTATGTAGAACCTTATTCAATGGTAGAACTAAAGTGTTCCTTTGATAAAAGGCGACTACTAATTTATTAGGTGACCACAAACTAGCAATACAGCTATTGTCATCAAGAACTGTTGTATTTTAACGTAATTTGCTGAACCGAACATACATCTACACCTTTCATAACGAACTGGTTCGATTAGAATCCATCCCTATAATAGTTAGGAATATCCACACTATGCTGAAATAGACTTCTTACATAGGTAGCATTAGTTTCGTAACGGCGTAGCCTAAGCCTATGTGCATGCGTTAGCTAAAGCTACTATTTTTGGGGAAAACTGAACGTTTTGTAAATGTCGATTTAAAAATGTTTTTATTGTACAATTAGTATTAGAAGCACTTGTTGTAGAAACTTACTAATAATTAGGTCAAGAGCATCACTAGTAGGGAAATAAGACATTTTTTTCAGTTGAAGTGAAAGGAAGTCACAAGTTATAAGTAGGTAAGAAGTTTGGTGAAACTGTTCGTATAACTTAATTCAGAACTTGCTTAATTATTACGTAATCAAAATTCAACTTTACTCATGCAGTCTTGAACCTGATAATGAGAGTTGTCTCCAAAGTAGTCTTTGATATGTAAGTATCTGACGCAGATTTAGTGCTTTCTACCTTCTTTTTCTTATAAAGAAAGGTTTAGTATTGCTTTTGGAGAATATGAGGAGTAAGTCATGAAATTACTTGTAGGATTCGAATCAAAGATAGTGAATAAGACTATAGCAGTAGAGACCAAGAATACCTACAACAAATATAACGTGTTTTGCTTAAGAAACGAACAAATAACAAACAAAACGGTCGTTTATATTCAATTAAATTAAAAATGTATAGGTCAACAGGTACCTACCTATAAATACGCCATGTAATGCCCTTTGGAAAAGTCGTTGCTTAGGTAACAGATGCAAAATACTTATATACTTGAATAGTTAAACCGATATTATGATAACTAATATAACATCAAATTAGCCCACGAGCGGCAACTTTGACCTTATGTAAATGGAGATTCTTTACACAATACAGTAACAACAGAGGGGTTTACGTAACCTTTGACTACTGTTGCCTAATCATAAGGGAGTCGGCTATTCATATTTAAGCAAGTTTGAACTTGACGAGTTACCTATAGTTTGGGAACGAAGAGTGCACTAGGGGTTTCATCTTATGAAATACTAAAATTTATTACCCCTTACTGGTCTTAGAGCTTTATGGATCGTCAAAGCATTATATGATTGCGGCCATACAATTGGATACGTACTTGATAAGGTACCGATTTTCTCGGTAAGCTTTATGTGTTTTTCCAAACTGTCGAGTTTTCAAACCTTGAGAAATTCTCCGTTCCACAAAGACGCTAGCGGGTAATTCCTCGATTTAATTAAATTATCAACTATGAATGATACGAATCTACTCAGTTGTATAAAATTTGTCACTCATTTTGTCTTGAGTTTCAGTTTTCCATTTAATTACGTTCTCGAAGTTGACGGGACAAATATGAGCTCAGAGCTCTTCAGTATCGTTTCGAATTTTTGAGCTTCAACCACAAATCAAATTTGAAAATGTACACTTTATGTCAACATCATTAAGAGAGCGTTTTAGCTAATTATTAATTAATATTCTGGAACTTTTTTTACATCGCATACAACCCATCTTGAACGCATAACTACTCGGGCGCATGAAATTCCCTCAGACCCAAAACCAGTCAAAATCTCTTTAGAACAAACGGGGTCAATGGGTTAGTAGGTATCAAGGTGCACTTTTTTGACATTTTGCTTTTGCTTTCATAGAATCAAAATAAGTAGGTACTTATTGAATACTGTCTCGGGCATGAGCAGAATCAACTTGATGTTGATGATAACACTGAGCATCCTTTTATATTCCACTGTATCAATTTATTTAATTATCTCCTGCCGAATGGTAGGTAGGTGATGGGGCGATGCCTACCTAAGGATCTCCACTCTCCAGTGCAGAATGAGATTAAATAAATATCGATATATGTGAGCTGTTATTTGTTGACGTGCAAAAGATGCAGGAACTGCTTTAATTTGATGTGCAAACTAATCACTAGTGCTCAAAAATCAGTGCCTAAAAATAACATCATATCTATCAAGCTGATCTGAAGTTAGCTGGGCATCCTTTCAAAATTGATTTGTGAGCTACATTTTGTCATGCAATTTTCATCTTTAATGTCTTCCAGTTGTTTATCACTTAATTATACAATAATTTTTGTCAATATGTAAAATGATCACCAGATTAAACTACCATCACGATCGTCGGTAAAATAAAGAGTTTGGTACATAATCAGGAAAACCTATGTAAATTGTTAAGAACAAAAGGAGTGCTAAACTTTTCTGACTGAACATAAAAGCTCCTGGGAAAGTGAATTGGATTGGCCATTCGCATTGCAGTAGGAAGGTGTGCGCCATACATTGTAAAAAAACTGTGTTCACTAGCGCCAATGTGTACAAGAGACCCTTAGGAACTTACGAATCAGTATCCTATTCCTACAGCAAACAAATATACTCATACTAATAACAGCAATACCTGGTTGCCGTCATAGGTCCAACTACCAAACTTCATGTCACAATGTTGATCATCAAATGGAAACCACGTAATGTCTATCTTGCATGTGCTCTTGAAGATACCCGGAGGGACGTACAAGCAGCTGCCGTTATGTTTGACCACAACGTTTGTTTGGAAAGTCCCGTCGAAACCCTCATCAGCACTTCGTATAACAACACAAATTGTTAAAATGGACCGCGAGAGCGATACACGCGCGTCTTTAACATCGCATGCAACAGCCATCCAACATCGACATTGTACAACAGGTAACAGCTAGGTCTGTCCGTTTGTGTTGCAGAACGTACAATCACTGCGGAATTGAATAACCCTCCCATGTAAAACACTGTCCCATTCCTTTATACAGTTTAACTATTTTATTTATTTATGCTCTTCAGTAGTTACGTTAATACCAGTAAATGGCATCTTTTATGCATCGTCTTGGACCATTATTTAAAACTATGGATTATTTAGATGAGCGGTTCGGATTTGCTCTGTTTATTTATTATGTTTAACTTTATACATTTCGTTTAACAGGTTTGATTTACAGATCGTTTTACAATTTGCAGTTTAATCGAGTGCTGTTATAGAGAGAGTTTTCAGGGATGTTCCGGCCCAATGAGAGTCGAATATTGAAACTGCTATTCGCCTTAGCGTAAACACACGTGCCTGGTCTAAATATCAGTCCAAATTCGACTCTAGAAGGTCGGAAGTGATGTGGCCGACAGCAACGGCTAGCTGTCTGTGTACTTCCCACCTAACATTCGTTATTCACATACATGCATACACATTCACACCAGTGAAGTAGTAGTGGTTCGTATACTTTTACAAACATTGGACTGTATTCCAAGACACAATAGCTGCAACTGTGATCTTCCGTTACAGTTTATACTGCTATCTGCTATGCCGCAATTGTGAAATTCATCTCTCAACGTGTTCACGATATAAATTAAAGCAATCGGTCGCACAAGTTGTACAATTTGGTCATGGAGCACCAAGTGAAATGGAAAATACATCTCTGATGACAATCTCATTAGGTTACCCATTAAAAGTGACAGTAACACTTGGCCAAGCAAATAATATCAAAATAGCGTACATGTTTTGACTATGGTCAAAAATCAAATTAAAGGTTTTCTGAAGTTTTTAAAGGAAATCCTTCCAAGCGATTTGAAATTAAAACAAAATTAACAATTTTGATATAATTCTTTTATTGTCACCACCATGGCCAGGTATGTTCCTAACTAACCTGTCAATATAAATTTAACAAAAATGCAGATAGGAGGTACCAACGTACGTTCACTTGGCCCAAGGAAAAATACTTCGGCCCATTTCCAAAGATAGTAATATCACTGAAGTCGTGTCGCCATCTATACCTACTTCCAAGTATTTTCCTAGGTCTTCTTCATACATTTATACTCAAAGGTTCATATAAAGCTATTAACTGAATTGTTAATAAAATATGACCCACCCCTAATTTTTAGTAATTGTAATAACATGTTTTCTAAAAGAAAGTATAGAAACATACATGGCGAAGATACATACTGAGTTATTCAGCATGGCCCAGAAATAAAATTAGATGCAAACAGTGAAAAATAAGCCTGAAAATAATAGTAGAAGGCGAATACAATATAATAAATTTTGTATATTTACAGTCAGTTTGCACCGGGTCGTACTTGATGTTTGGCATCCACGTGTCTGTTTTATAAATTCGTAAGTATAGTTTCCCAAAAGTTTGACGAAGTATTCATGGTATGAACCTGATTACATAAAAATCAATATTCAGTATATATCTATTAATATTTATAACCATTTGCATACTACAGCACGTACTATAATTAACGTAGAGGTAATTAAATAGGGGAATGGTTCCACAATTAAACAAAAATTACTGTATGCCAAATTTAAATTTATTACTCTCGAATTTTCATCCTTTTATTCTTTACTTTTGTTTCCAAATGCATAAATATCCATCGGTTAAATGCACGTGGCCAGTCAAAAAGTAGGTATAAAATATGCTTCTTGAATGTGAATATTGTGAATACATAACGTTATGACGGTTGTACAGATTTTCCATCTTGCTTTTCCCGAGAGACGCAAATTACCTACGTAAGAAATGATATCGTCAATATTGTATTGGAATTCCAAGATTGTGAAGACATGGGCGACATGAAACAGAGCATGGCATTCGTGGAGTCAAATTACTGCGGAAATTCGCTTATGTTTTTTCTGGACGCCGAGACTTTTTCCAAGAACAACGAAGGGCGTCAAGAGAAGCACTCGCCATCCAGAACGAATGAGAGCAAAAAAGGTCAATGTCCGATACGTTTTCAGCCAATGGTGGAGACGTTTTGTTATCGGCGCTTACTGTATACAAAATGTGTTTAATTGTATGATGTATGGGTGCTAAATGGACCCAAAACACTCGTATTGGACGAAACTCGGATTATTGTATTTAGTGGTGGAGATGAAGTGAAAAACGTGCGACCAAAAAGAACAAAGGTTTTGTGATGTGATTTCTCACAACTCATTCACAAGATTTCGCCCATCTCACCGCAATTTTGAGAATATTTTAAAATCTCTAAATCAGCGTCATTAAACAGAAAATAATTTTCAAATGGTGGGCATTATTTGTTGAATATCTTATCCTTAACGCTTGGCTGTTAACAGGAAAGAGTTTTATTAACATAGCTCTTTATTTAAACCTGATCCGCATCTTTTAACACTAAACTATATAGGGGGCCAAGAGCAGGGCCGGGGTCCCCAAGTACGAGCGAAGGATGGGGCCCTTATCTCTAAGCGGAGGTTTACAAAACCTTTAGTAAACGTTATTTCAAGAATAATATATGTATACAAAAGATCATACACATATACTAAATCATTTTAGCATTTTAACTGGGGCCCCTGGGTTGGAGGCCCACAAACACGTACTTGTCGTGCTTCTACGTAAATTTTTCAATAGTGCTACTATTGTGCCGATCCAATTTTAATTTGTGCTTATCTGGAAAATTAATTTGACTCCCAGTCTTCCGGTTTCTTTAAGGAGCAAATTCCAGTAGGTACTACTTTAACGAGTTGTACTCGAAGCATATTGGATTGTATCGTTCTAACTTTCAAAATAGTTTTACGGTACACGGTAATTCCCACAGTTAATTCTCAGACGCCAGGACCGTAACCAGATTGATTATCTACTAAAAGCAGACCAATAGATCTACAGAGCGGACAGGAGAAATAATAATTTGCACAAATACCACTCGCTCTAGAAATTCGTTTTTCTGGGAAAATACAGTTCGCATAATTTGATGGTATAACGTCTAATTGATTTAATAAATAAGCTGCTTCCGATTCAGTGGTTTGGCAGAAAATTAGTGCACAGACAGGCGGACTGACGATCGTTGAGATCTGGGTTCCTAGGGATACAAAACTCAGATGTCTGTCATAAAAGTGCGAAGGTTATTTGTAGACCTCTCTTATACTATTTACGTATTGCAAGTGATAAAAATGATAATGCTAAAATCTATGGATATCATTTATGCAACCACAACCTGGGTTTAACACAGAATAAACCTTGCTAATTTAATATAAGGCAACTATTAAACGCCATCTTGCAACGTAAAGCAACTATCGCCCCTAAAGTAGTTGACGCCTTTTTCTTTTCGAAGGTTAAAGGACCAAAATCTTTTTGAATTTTTTTGAACCGCTTGACTCTTTTTTTAATATCATCCCCGGTGTGCTATTATTTTGAAAGGAGAATTCAGTATGCCGTCTATTTAGATTAAAATATACAGGGTGTTCCACGTAAAAAATGGAAATGGAAAAATGAGGTTAGATCCGATAACTTTTTCACTTGACCCCGTATATTCATATTGAAAACGGCAGACTATGCAACAATCATTTGTAATAAACACTTTTCCGATAACCTAATAAACAAAAAAATCATAGGATTTTATATAAAAATCGAAAAGTGCAAGCAAAAAATAGAAAACGGTTTTCGCCTTAAGGCGAGTAACTTTAGCATATTTTATGTTATGGCATAAATATTCTGATAAATAATAAACCTGGTATTGCGCAGGCGCATGTTTGCCTTTACTAGAAGAAGAAAGTTGACATTGTCCAGTCTGCGAACCGAAACCATTATTCCTTCAGAAATGGAAACTTACTGAGAACCGAAACTCTTATTATTTTTTCCGGTTCTTTTCGGTTTTTTACGGTTCTTAACATGTTACCTATTGGAAGTTGAAGGACGCGCAAACACGTCCTGTCCTGAAGCTTGATAAAATATTATTACTCTATGATTGCCATCGCTGGATTATAAATTTTTAATAAAGTGTTGAAATTGAAGACAGTACGGGTAGCGGTGACGATAATTTAGCCACTATTGTAAATGTAAGTAATAAAAGGAGGGGCGAGGTTTTAGAAAATAAAAATATAAAACAGTACTCCATACATAATTTTTTTTTCATATGTTTTTGTGTATTTTTCTGTTTTTTATTAACAAATTAAGTTTAAATGCATATTTCCTTCTTCCTCCTTTATGCCCCGTGTCGTTGTGATACGCCACGTTTTGGTATTCCGGACTCTTTCCTTCTTTTTCACACACAAATCACGTTGTTATAACTTATAATGAATTTTTTGAATGCCATACTTTCTAAAAGACTAGAACCAAAAAAAATTGTTATGGACCGAAAAAAATTAGCAGAACCGAATCGTTATTTTTTTTAAACCGAAACCAGACCGGAACCGTTATAAATATTTTCGCTTAAATATAAACAGAACCGGAACCGATATTTCATTTGGGTCTGGGTCCCTGATACGACCAAATTTGGCCGCCTTATACATAGAAAATAATTTGTACACAAATGCAAAACTGTCCAATTGTAATAGTTGACATAATTCCGAATACCAAACACCTTTCTTTATATTTGATCATTTATAACCATGCTATATTGCGTCACATTAACCAATTATCAATAGTGGACTTGGATTGTGCTGTTCAAATTTTCGAAAATATATTTAAACAGTACCCGAAAGCTCTTGTACTGAAATATCGGGGGCCATTTTGGTTTTCAGCCTCCACCGATGTAAAATTAGCAACATAAAATATGCTCGATGCTTATTGGATTGCGCCGTACAAATTTTTTGAAATAGTTTTACGGTACCCCATACCATAGGTTCCTGCATTCAAATCTCGAGGGACAACTTGCCCCTCAATCCCGCGTTCTTTACCAATATTGAATCGGCAATAGTTAATCACGATGCGTATTAGATTGTGCCATTAATGAATTTAGACCCCGGAATTTGGGTGCGGGAGCTATGGGGTAGCGTAAAATTATTTTCGAAAATTTTAAAGGCACAATCCAATATGTATCCAACATAACTGATTGCCATTATTACTTATTCCATATCTGTAAAGAACATGCTGGCTGAGAGTTAAGTTGACCCCCAAGATTTAAGTGTACCGTAAGAGTATTTTCGAATATTTTATCGGCACAATTCAATATGCATCAAGCACCATTCGGTGCCATTATTACTGATTTGATATTTGCAAAAAAGGCGGGGGCTCAGGATCAAGTTGGCGCCCGAAGTTTGGATGCACAAACTATCGAGTCTCGTTACTCGTTAAAGTACTAGTCGTGGCTGACAGTCAAATTGGCCCCTGCTTTTCAATTTAAGGAAATTTGATTTTTCAGATCAGCACAAATTGAAATTGAATCAGCACAATTTAGCTCAACAGGAAACATTTTCATTACATATTTTTTCTTTAATTGCAGGGGCTACATTGAAGGAGCTTCGATAGGGCGCAATGGACTAAATGCAGCGATCTGCTAATAATAAGACTGCAGGTTAATGCGAGAGATGGGTAAGATGCTACGAGGCCGCGCAAATTAACAATTCTCCTCAACATAATTCGAACAAGAGATGAGGTTCATTTAATGGCACATCCAAATGGAATCATCTCCATTTTAGGGAAACCGAAGGAAAATGAAACAATGACGACATGTTTTGAGCCAATCAGCGCAGTTAATAGTATGATTCTTTGATATACTGTGATACCGCATATTATTCTATATTATTAATTTGTGTATATTCCTTCACTTCCATGTTATATTTTGGTGCTATTGGAAATGGAATAAAGTGTTTGAAAAGTATACCGCACTCTCAATTTGGTCTCATATATACGTTCTATCATATTGTTTTCCATCTAATCAAAATATCCATTAGTCTATACAGTTCTAAAACATTAAGGGCTATTGTCACTGAGTAAGGAGACTGCTATTATTCTTTTACAGAAGTTAATCAATCACATGCTGAATTATAACGTTTTTCAGTTTATCTCGTCAATTTTTATCTCATGCTCAAGTCTCTACTGTCATTAATTGTATTTTACGTATAATGTTATTTTAACAGGCACTTTTAATGCATACATAATTAAGAAGCGAGTAAAAATAACAAACGCGTACATAGATTTGGATCTATAACAGGCACTCCACTTAACTTGTTACCTGTTGTACATTAGTACATCCGGCTTCCATAGTTTATTGGGAGTTATCCTTAAATCCTTGACGCCTCCATATTCGGATTCATTCCACCTAAGATTGTAATCGTTCCATTCCTACGCAAAATAACAACGTTTAGTTGTATGACACACAAAAGGCGGACTTATTTATACATAATTATTGTTGTAAAAAGCGGATGATGGGCGCCACCCATACAACACAAGAAGATAGTCTACATAGATCTACAAAATGATTTACACGTAGTCATTTTATGGATTCCTTTAGAAGTCGTGACAAAAGCTCGAGACGTTTGTCAGGTAGGTGAAGTCATAAAAATTTTACGATATTTAGGAATCCATAAAACTTGTCTATGAACCATAAAGCACAACATCCAGTGTAAGCAATTTACAGCAGTGGGCATAGTTCTACAGCTACTTTTACATAAAACGTGCTATAGAAAACCTGCGCCATTCCATCGCCGAATAATATACAGTACCACTTCAAAAAGCAATATTTGGTGAAAACGTAAAAATGGGATCACAAAATGAACGCGTTAAGTGGTTTGCGAGGTAATGGCGTCTCACAGGAACATGCCAATAAGCAAGCGTCGCGGTATGATTGGTCTCATGCGAAGGGTATGGTTTTTAATATACTTGATTTTAAGCATTATATGTTTAGTTACAATTTTAAAGAAATGCTTCAGTTTAATATAGAACAAATATGTTTAGTTGTCATAGTAGGAAAGAACTAAAACCGTTCACGTGGTTAAAGAGGACCAAACAAGAAATAAAATCCAAAAGTTGAAGAACTGATAGAAATATAGGTCAAAATTAAACATAAACAGGTATTAATTCGTGCTTTCAAAAATATATGAGAAAAAACGCAAATAATTCATAAAATGAAAGCAAAAAATGCGCCTAAAAAACAAAAAACATTATTGATAATCAATGACTTAGTTAAAAGCATAATTATGTGATAGTTTTAAAATATCTAACACACACGGCAGCAGAAGAAGTAAAATATTGTACGACTTCGGCGAAAACGAATGAAAGTAGTAGAGCATCCAAAAAATTAGTTCTTTTGAATATTTGAGACTCTACAGAACGAAGCTACAGCTATATGCTATGGGCTATGGCTAGGGCAGGGAGATAGGGTTGCACCAAGTCCAACGCGTACCATTCCATATCATAAAACGAGGGATATCGAGCAATGGTGAAATTTCTGCAAACACTAATGACCAAATTTTACAGGAGGCATACGCATCTATAGAAGGACCGGCGTGAATAACGGACACACAGCCAAAGATAACAATACTAGGTTCAAAGAGCACACCATCATTCGGGTGGGTTCGACCAGCTAGAAGAGGAATATCAAAGAATTAAATACAGGAATGAACAACCAACCAACTGCCGTGTGTGTATAATAATTTAGTTATTTAATTGGTTTTCACTTACCAAAGAAAGCCAAATATTTGTTATTAGGAGTTGATTCTTCTCGTCCTATGGTAAAACAATAAAAGGGAAACATCGGTAGTTAGTCACATGACAAGGCATGCATACGGCGCACGAATCGGTCATTTCAAAACGGGCTATAAAAACACCCGGAATGCTCAACCGATGTGCTACGGCGAACGGATAGTGGTATCAGACCACTATCAGTTTTCCGTGGGAGCTATACGTCCATAGCCACAGAGCCCAGAGACAAACACTACAGTTGCCAACGTATCTTTACAGGAGCGAACGTATAGTGTTTGTTCTGCATTAACATTGCGAGAGGCTGACTGGACCACATGGCACTTACCAAGTTTAACCACGCGTTTGTCGTGAGAATCTGATTCTTTTCGTCCTAGACAGGGGAAAACAATTATAAAGTAACAAGCCAAGATTACGAAGTGCGCCTTTACTGCAGATAAAAAAGTGCCTCACAAAACTCCACAACTTTGTCTCTCGTTGGCAGCATACTTTAAACATTCAGACATAATCACTCAAAAGGAAACCTAAACCCCATCCTATAATCTATTATCTTAATTTAAGGATACGATTCCGCTTTGGTCTCGCTATACATATGTGTGACGTAGTTATATGTTTTATGTATTCTAATATTAATATAACAATTTCCAGTGATACTAACCACATCTATAATTTGCTGCAAAGTTAGGCCGAATTTCACTTCCAAAGGTTCCGATTCGTTCGCCACGGGTCTCTCCAATACGTTGTAAGGAGTGAGCAAGTTGTTCAACAGCCTTTTTTCATGCTGCCCTTGGTACGAATCTAAATCAAAATTTACAGTATTATACACCATTCAATTGTGTCCTTTAGCGTTACTATTTTCAATCATTCACTCTGTGGTTAAGTAGAAAAAAAAACCGATCAAGTGGAGAGCATCGATACTTGGATCAAGAGCACTTGCGTAAACAATGAAGAAGCAACAACCTGTCATTTTCCCCAAAACGGGACAAATTTCTTATGTTGTTAACCAACAACTACTTTATTTTGTAATTTGGCTCACAGTGGGGTTGGACTATTGCCGTGTGTACTTTGTCGAACTAGGTCATGTGAAAAACATTGCCTTGCCCGACGTTATTGTTCTGCTAAATATCGATTGCCGAAATGTAATGTGACAAACTTGATTAAATTGTGGACATAATTGTTATTTAGAGCGCACTCACTTTTACTAATTAACACGTTCGATCTGTAGAGCGCGTAAGTCGAACGATTCATTCGGGCGTAATGTACCGAAGGAGGCTAAGATTTGTAAGTGGTACGAAAATGCCTTTGTGGGAATGGAAGGAAATATCCAAATGGTGTAGGTGTCCACATTGCTTTCCGTCGTGCTTTGTTTATGTTCCCAATTCAAACGTTTTTGCCTACTAGTTTACCTGGAGGCATCGTCATGAGCAGGAAGACAGTAGCCAGTAGCGCCAGCGCTCGCTCGCTTGAAGCCATCCTAGCTCGATCCAGGGCTATTCATGACTCTCTTGATAATCCCCCGGAATTGGCCGTCATATTTGCGAGCTCTACACACGCCCAACTAGTACAAAGTACCCAGACAATGGCACCTGCTACTAGCTGAGCACAGAAGATCGCACTCGCGTTACTTCACTGATCATTTCACCTGCGACCAGTGGTTTTATCGAGACGCACTAAAGACGACTCGTTGGATGCCCGAGGATGGATGCAGGGCAATGATAGATCAATATGGACCAAGTGCGCGCGCGGGATCCCGGGTATCACTGCTGGCGCTCCGGGCTGCAGATGAACGCAAGCGCTACCACTTCTCGGACACTTCTGCTGCAGATTCACCCTCCAAATCTATTGTACAACTGCTGTATTTATGACACTACAACAACGGTACCGAGTTCATTCACAAACGTTGGCCTGTGTGCGTAAAACCAGATTTACGAAAATAGTCAGACACAGACCTCGTTGCCATTTTCTTTATTTCAACACCCGTTAATTGCTCTGTATCTTACTTATTTTTACGCAGAAATTATTTCATAAGACAGCTTTAATTTGTTTCGAAAGTAATGCAGCTCTATAAAAAGGGCCTGTAATAGCTGTATCATAATTTCATTTAAGATTACCGACCGAAATTGCACCTGAGCTTTACTCATTTTTTTTTTAATAAACGGAAGCTCGTAATTTATATTTTTGTTGAAATTATTTCGACCCCCCCAGCAAGACTAATTTAATAAATCATTAAAGTGGGAGGACAGTCTTCTTAATACACTTACCAGAAATTAAAAAATGCATGAATCTGTAGGTAGGTACGTGCAGTTTCGGGTTTATTTTTTCAACGAAAATCACATGAGAATTAATGTCATTTTTGCAAAAGGATCATATTCATTGGCGGTAATACTAACGGCCAGGAGACTGACAAAGCCGGTCACAAACAATAGATGACCGCATACTCTTTCTAGTGCATTGTAAAACTTTCCACAATTCATAATCAACCCCATCGTCATAGATGATACAGGGTTTATATCAGTTTCATTATTTCCCTATTCACAGCACACATTTTAGTTGATGTTTAATTTTCTTTCTTTTCAATACCGTCCTTATTTGGTTTATCTGTTGTTATTTTTTGTTTTATTTGTATTTTTCTTTCGCTTTCTGACTTTTCAGTGCACCTAACGTGTTGCTTCGCTCAAATATGATTCCTTTTTGGTTTTGGCAACGCAACTCTACTTTAGCAATATCAACAGATTCAAAAAATAAGTTCTCTAATGCCAGATTCGGCTGTATCAATTCAGGCCTTATTGTGGCGCAGCTGATAATATGAACAAGCCTACGTTTTCACGAGTTTGATATGATTTACTGTTGATTGTGGAACACCTCGCCCCCTGACAAAATCTGTACCGGAAAATTTTGCCTCCCACAATTCATTCCTTGCGCTTAAATGAACTCGTTTCCCGATAATTTGCCCAAGGAAGATTCGCCACGACCCTCCTGAATACTCCTCCTCTAGGAATTTGCTTCAAAATAAATTCTGAAGCTCCACCTCAAAGAATTACTCAATTCTAAAACTGACTAAGATCTACGTCCTCAATTCTAGGAACCCATTCTGTTTGGTGTTACAGAATTGGCGACGGTAAATTTGTCTCGCTCCCACGAAGACTTCCCTTCAGAAAAATTCGACTACCTACTAATTCAAATTTCTGCTTTTGGTACGTCACACGCTCCGAGTATCCTTTTGCAATAGTTAAATTTTTATCGCATTTTTTAAGACAGACACGTTTTACTCTTCATAGTATTCTAATGAAAGGTTTATCATTCATGGTATTCTAATTAAAGGCTTCAGCAAAAGGAACTGTTTTCTTTCTTATCGTGATTAGTTATAATTCCTTATATCGCAAGCGCGGGTTGTCAGAGAAGGGTACTCACAAAGGGAGATTGGGACGGCTGGAAGAATGTCAAAACTGTCGAAAACGGTTTATCGAAGGAGAGTACTCACGGCAAAATGAATCGTCTGGACGAATCATATCCATTTGTTAAGCTAAGGAAAAGTAATACTATTTTTGCAGTTAGCAAAACAACTTCCCCACTTATTAAGATCTTGATCACTTTAAATAAGTCCTCCCCAGTGAATGATATCGACTTTTTTCACGATCCCCTAAGTGCAATAATAAATCGAATTAGATCTTAAGTCCTAATGTTTGTTCAGAGCCCCAGTGCCATGTAATTGGAATTTTTATTCTGTATGGTGTTTGGTTAAACAAATATCTGTGGGTGAAATCGAAGCGAATATCGAAGTGGCGGAGGAAGGTATTCTGAAAGAGCAGAAAGTTGTCTAGAAATTTAGACAAATCTAGTGACAATGTGAAAAATTAATTGTGGGTGTGTCGAAAATGGAAGAAGGTACATACAAAGGGAAAATGCAATATTTCGAAAAATTTCTCTATGGGTTTGACTCTTCTTGCATTATGTAGCATAGATTTTGAATTTATGTCAGGCGGCTTTTACATGCGTATGTGTAAATTTGCATTTATATCCATCTTGTTTTGAACCTAAAGTATTGACTCAAAATTCCCGCAACAGCTTTCTAGCGTTTTGTCATGTCATATTTAATCACTGGAAATTTTCGCTAATTAATGGTGATATCCAAAATATAATTGAACATATGAATTATACAGAGTGGCCAAACGAGAAGTATACAGAGGGCTTTTAGGGTATTAAATTTAGAAATTTCGAAAAATCCTCGAATTCGAGGGGGACAACTTTTGGAATACAAATCACGAACCCAAGTCTTCACCCCTCTACGAAGGGAGCTTAACCCCTAAAATTTTAAATGGAATCTTATGGCAAATGGCACATTATTTGAAAGCCAATTTAATCGTGATTAGTAATCTGCTTTGCTTTTTAAATTCTATTGATTCGTTTCGGAGGTAATTCGCATTTGAAATGGTTTCTTCTAAAAAAAACCAAAACAAATGCGATCTAAGTCGCCTTTATTAAAATTTTATTTTGACGCTTCAATTTGTTTGTTAAACTTAAGTGAACCTGTCAGTTCTTCTTTCATTCAAAATTGAGGATCTTGTTGACATTTCCGTATTCCAACATCTAACAATGTAAATCTAATCTCGGAAACATGCATTAAGTTTTAAATCCATTTAGTTATGTTTGCAATACGGCTTATTAGATAGGGGGTTACGTAATTTATCTTTATAAATTAATTTTAATTTCAAAAACTTTCTGTATACCGAATACAAAATCTTGTTTATCCTATTTTAACGAACTTTGACTAAAAGTTTACATCTCAGACGATGGCTTTATTTATTACACACTAAATAAAACTACAAATTTGTGGGATTTTGGTACAATACTTTATCTTCATTAGGTAATGACGTTTGGTACGAGACCGTTTTTGATAATTACATCAAATATCCTATATATCTTACTTTATTTCTACGAACGGCGAAGCCAATCGAATCGCTGTGTGAAACGAGGAACTTGGGAAGTTTGCAAAGTGTAGGTAAGTAAAGCCCATTAAGCTCTAATACCTACGTATAGATTGTAAAACACCGTCTTATGTATTTAGAAACATTATGCATATACTTACTTGCGTTATATAACAAGCATTTAAAGTTGTAGCTATCTAAACAATACACCCACCCACTGTGAGCAAATTCATGTACCTACCTAATGTTGTTTTCGTTCCTAGATTATCGAAATGAAGAACCCCAAATTCGAAAAGTTAGATCGATTTTGTTTGATGAGTGGAATTCAAACGAGACGAATCAAAGAAAAACGTATTCCATTAACGCGTTACGGACAAAATCCACAGATTACACTACAAGCAATCTCTGCCAACAGTAAAGGAGAGTAGGAACAATTTGAAAAATCAATTAAAATTGTTTAATTAAACTTCTTCCCTTAGGGTATTTTTCTTATAGAATGTGGCCTGTAGAATCCACAATTTCAAACAGTTCCAAAATTGGGCTACTAGTTCAAAAGTTAAAGCCCCTTGAATTTTCTTTCGAAATTGGTTTCTAGTCTATAACTTTTGATTGATAAGTCTGATCGAAAAAGTACGAATTGTTTTGGATTCTACGCACCAAAATTAATAAGAAAAAGTGTTTTCCCGAGAAATTTTGGTGTAGTCGATTTTTGGTAAAAAAGGAAGGTTATACACTGCCTTTTTTTGAGCCCCGAAAAAAAAATTGTCTCAGATCGACCCGGAAAAAAATTTTCTTATAGAATGTGGCCTGTAGAATCCATAATTTCAAACAGTTCCAAGATTAGGCTACTAGTTCAAAAGTTACAGCCCTTTGAATTTTCTTTCAAAATTGGTTTCTAGTCTATAACTTTCGATTGAGAAGTCTGATCGAAAAAGTACGAATTGTTTTGGATTCTACGCACCAAAATTAATAAAAAAAAGTGTTTTCCCGAGAAATTTTGGTGCAGTCGTTTTTTGGTAAAAAAGGAAGGTTATACACTGCCTTTTTTTGAGGCCCGAAGAAAAAAATTGTCTCAGATCGACCCGGAAAAAATTTTCTTATAGAATTTGGCCTGTAGAATCCATCATTTCAAACAGTTCCACGATTGGGCTATACTAGATCAAAAGTGTTTTCCCGAGAAATTTTGGAGTAGCCGATTTTGGTAAAAAAAGGAAGGTTAAGTATTCACATACTATGCGAAGTATTCGAATACTTCTCAAAGTATTCAAATATCTTGCGAAGTATTCGAATACGAAATATTTGTGAAAGTATTTGAGTTACAAATACAAATACTGCTTCCATAAAAGTATTTAATTACAAAATATTTGAATACTTTAAAGGATTTGAATACTAAAAAGTATTTACAAAATCGAATACTGCCCAGCTCTGTTTTTCATTAACATTGATTTTTTTTTTTAAAATATAGGGTTCGACTGCCAAGGTCATATCCCCTTTATTGCACGCTATAGAGTACAGGTACATATATGCACAGTGCTATATGTCGATATATATATACCAATTCCTTTTAAGAAGGCGAGGGTATTATTTGCATTTTGTGAGTTGAAGTTTGTAACGTAGTTTGGCATAATGTTATGACGTACGCGTTCAATGGCATATAGTGGGCAATCATTTATTATGTGCATCACTGTATAAGGGCTATGTTGCAGTGGTTACAGTACCGAGGAGGTCTACCTTTAAGTAAATGTTGGTGAGTTATTTTGGTGTGCCCTGTCCTCAGGCGGTGCATCTTTACATTCTC